GGAGGAGGAGGAGGAGGAGGAGGCGGGCACTTACGCACAAGGTCTGCCATTGTTCCTGATCTATTTGTCTCTCTGCCTCTGTGTGATTCTGGTCGGATTGGTATGCCCCGTAGAGCTGCTCTTGGCCTTCGAGCCTGGATTAACCCTGCAAGACTAACAACCTCCCTCGGTTTGTACAGGATGCAACCATTTTGACCACCGCCATTCCCAGCATCACCGACGAGTTTGGTTCCGTGCAAGATGTCGGCTGGTATGATGCTGCCTTTCGGCTCACTTCGTGCATGTCACAGCTCTCGCAGGGCAAGCTGTACGATAACTACTCGCTCAAATGGGTCTTCCTTCTCAACATGATACTCTTCGAGGCCGGCATTCTGGTTTCCGGCCTGGCTCCCAGCTCGCTGGTTTTTATCGTCGGACGAGCCATCACGGGTCTCGGTTTTTCGGGCATCAGCCAAGGTTGTATGGTGTAAGTGTCCGGCTGAATTCCCAACCTCAATTGAAGGGAATACGTGCATTGACATGATGGGGGTTGGATTTTCTCGAAAGCATCGTGGCCATGTCCACTCCTTTGCGGAAACGGGCCACCTTCCTCGGCTTGATCAGCGCCAGCGAGTACACCGCAATGGCCGCGGCGCCCATCATCGGGGGCGCATTGACCTCCACTCTCTCCTGGCGGTGGTGTTTCTACATCAATCTCCCGGCGGCTGCGGCCCCGGCCGCCATGATTCTGCTGCTGAAGCTCCCCCAGATGCCCTCGGGCAGTCGAAAATCGCAGGTCGAGCGCTTGCGAGAGCTGGATCTTCTGGGGTGTTTCTTCTTTGCCCCCGCCGTCCTTTGTCTCCTCCTCGCCTTGCAATGGGGCGGAGCGACGTACAGCTGGGACAATGCGCGCATCATTGCGCTCCTCGTGCTCGCTCCCATTGTCTTCGCGGTTTTCTGCTTTATTCAACACTGGAAGCAGGATAGCGCGATGCTGCCTCCACGAATCATCAAGAAACGCGTCATCCTCGCGGGGGCGCTCTTCAGTCTCTCGCTCTCGGCGTGTCGCGCGATCGTGCAATACTATGTAAGATCCCCTTCATACGCTGCCATGGCCTCCTTTGAGTGGGATTCCAAGCTAACGGGAGCGCGGGAGCGGTGGTGGGTATTGTAGCTGGCGATATGGTTCCAGACCGTTCGGGGGGCCACTGCCTTGCAGTCGGGCATCTACACCCTGCCCCTGGTGATCGCCATTCTCGTGTCGGCGATGGTGGCGGGTCGCTTCATGTCGGCGACCGGGATCTATACCCCGATCATGATCCCGGCCGGCCTGCTGGTCGTGGCCGGGATCGCCATGATGACGCGCTTCTCGACGACCACCCCCAAGGGGCTGTGGATCCCTTCATTGATTCTGTTGGGAATCGGATCGGGCAGTAGCGTGTCCATCCCCTTCATCGCGGCGCAGGCGGTGTTAAGCCTCGGTGATCTCTCCGCCGGCATGGCCTTGATGACCTTCTCCCAAGATCTGGGCGAGGCCGTCTTCATCAGCATCGCGCAGGCGGTTTTTCTCAACCGCCTCAGCAGCTCCCTGCAGGTCACAGCGCCCGACCTCGACCCGGAAAGCGTGATCCATCTGGGCGCAACTAATCTGCAGGGGAAGATCCCTTCGCAAGACGTCGCAGCCGTGGCCTTCTCATATAACCTGGCCGTGCGTTCGACCTTCTATCTGGCAGTCGCTCTGGCTGGGCTGCTGGTCATTACCGCCATACCCCTTCAAAAAACGACGCTAATGGGCAGGAGAAGGTCCAGTAGTTAGCTCTACCTCCTTGTCTACGGCTGAACAAAGTTGAAGGGGTATGTATAGTTTGTCTTCCTTTCAGACAGAGACCCATGGATTGAAGTGCCGGCAATGAAGAGTTTCAGAAGCAAGTGTCCTGTCGCGGCGGGTGAGTGATTCTCAGGAAATAAGGGCTGCTACACTGTGGCTGCGAAGGGAATCCCAAGACTTTCAAATGTCCAAACTCTGGAGCTTCGGAGTAGATACTACTGTAGTAGAAATCATAGCACTGCAAAGGCACAGCGGCAGCCCGCCTGTTGGATTAGGTGGTCTGCCCACCGCCTTTGGTCTCTTTGTTTTCTGCCACAGGCTCTTTCTTGTAGATGCGCCAGCTTCATTAAGTTCTCCATCAATCTGAATTCATCTATTTTCGCACTTCCAGCAATTCTACCTCTAACATCTTGAAGCAGCAACATCCCTGAGCCAGTGGACAGGTCTCCAAAGTGCACTATCTATCGCCACTCGTGCCATTTCTTAATTCGGTTCCAACTCTAGCTGTCGCTTCTCCCCGCTTCGGCACAGCCAGCAACCGACTGGAAGTGAGAGGACCGCGGAGCCTGTCGGGGAGCAGTAAGCCCCCTCTAACACCGATTATGAGCTTACCGTCTAGTCTGATATCATGTCAGGATCTGCAAGCATGGAATTGAAGCTGAGGGGCTTGAGGGAAGGGGAGGTTGTAAGCTTACCGCGCATTAGATTCGTGCTCGGTGGGTCGGCATCAACCAATCCTCCCCGTTGAGCTATATCGTCGTGTCCAAAGTCCATCACGACAATACCCTCCTTGAGCCGCGATGGGCTCACAAACCTTTAAAGCCAAGGGAGGGATAAAGCCATATCCCCCCTGCGCAGCTGAAAAGCAAAGCTCACTTGCATCAAGACAGACCCAGACCATACAGCCCTTCCACAATGGCTCCCTCTTTGTCTTTTCCATTATCCAGTGATATCACACAGCAGCAATGGAGGTCTTTCACTATTGAACACAAGCTGGGCCAGTCAGCATTGCATGAGTCATGTCAATCCCGCCAGATCGCACCAGAACAGCTCTTTCAGGCGGCGTGGGCCACCGTCGTGGCCGCCTACGACCACGATGAAGATGTCTATGCAGACATCACAGTGTGGGGACAAGGGGCTTCGAAAGCCCGCCTATGTCACTTCACCGTCACGCCGTCTCAGTCGATTCGGGATGTCCTCACAACGGTGACTGCCACCGACGGTGGCATCCCACCGAGCCCCGGTCATTGGAGTTCACTTGAGTATGTGCATTCGGGATCGGATGTGGCCCCAACCAAGCGCCCCCGACGTGAGGAGCATATCTCGATGCGACTGGTTCTGTGTGAAGATGACAGCACCTTGCGTGTTCAGCATCGCCAGGCAGCTATGGGCTCCGATCGAGCTAGAAGCATGGCACACGGCTTGGTCCAGGTCATCACCCAAGCCATGCACAATCCCGACGTGAAAGTCAAGGATCTCGATTTGATCAGCCAGATAGACCTCAACACCATACTACAGTGGAACGATTACCCACTCCATCTCGTGGACGCTTGTGTGCACGAGATCATTCAGCAACGCGCATGCGAGCGACCGGACTCCCTCGCTATCCGGGCTTGGGACGACGACCTGACGTACAGTCGACTAGACGACCTTGCGTCCCGTCTGGCTTTACATCTCCGGCTCTGTGGCGTCAAAGTCGGAGACGTGGTCCCTTTTCTATTTTCTAAATCGGCTTGGGCAGTGGTGGCCAGCCTGGCCACGCTCAAGGCGGGAGCCGCCGCCGTGGCTTTAAGCCCTGACCACCCCCTCGCGCGGTCTGAGACTATCATACGCCACACCCAAGCCTCCCATATCCTGGTCTCACGCGAGCACCATGGGCTGGCGGACTCGCTTCGCCTGCGCACTACCATCGTGGTCGGGCGGGACCTGTTCCCTAATCTTCCCGCCAACAGCACGGAGCTGCCGGCAGCTGCGACGGTCCGGCCCCAAGATCCAGCCTTCATTCAATTCACCTCCGGAAGTACGGGGGAACCGAAAGGGATCATCCTGGAGCACCGGGGCTTTTGCACGAGTGCGGCCGGACAGCAGAGGTCCCAGAATATGACGCAAGCGTCCCGTGTCCTGCAATTCGCGGCGTATACGTTCGACGCCGCGCTGCAGGAAACCTTCACCACCCTGATGGCCGGCGGAGTGGTGTGTATTCCATCCGAGCGAGACCGCACCAGTCGACTCGCTGCGGCGATGCGTGAAATGGAAGTCAACTGGGCTTTCTTCACGCCCACCCTCTGCGCTACACTCCAGCCGAGTAGCGTCCCGTGTCTCCGCACGCTGGTCTTGGGTGGGGAAGCCCCGAGCCCTGAGTTGATACGAACCTGGTCTTCCAGGGTCAGCCTACTGAATGGGTACGGCCCTTCGGAATGCTGCATTTGTTGCTCTGTGCATTCCGTGAGCAGCAATGGGTCCGACAGCCCGCTGAACATCGGCGTTGCCATTCCTGGCGTGAAGCTTTGGATCGTGCGTCCAGAGAACCACGCCATTCTGGCGCCCCTCGGCGCGATCGGGGAACTGGTCGCGCAGGGCCCCAACCTTGCGAGAGGTTATCTGGACGCATCCAGCGCTACACCGCTCAATTTTGTGAATGAGGTCCCTTGGTCCACTGACCAGTGCTTCCGTCGGGTGTACAAGACGGGCGACCTCGTTCGGTACCTGGCTGATGGGTCCATCGAATTCGTGGGGCGCAAGGATACCCAGATCAAACTCCGCGGTCAGCGCGTTGAGCTAGGCGAAATCGCCTCCCACGTGCGGACGCACCTTGGACGTTCCGATGTACAAGTCGCTGTGGATGTCGCACCGGTCTCACTGCGAGGAACACCGAAGCAGCAGCTGCTTGCCTTCTTCACCATGCCGCCAGCAGCACTGGAGGGCTCGAAGGTTTCTCTGGATGTCGTCCCTCGCCTCCCTCCTCGGTGTGGGAGGCTCACACCTTCCCTCAACGATCAGCTCCTTGCGCTCAAGGACAGTCTGAGCACTACGCTCCCCCGACACATGGTCCCCGCCCTCTTCGTGCCAGTCACCTACCTGCCCGTCAGTCTAGCGGGTAAACTCGATAGGAAAATGCTTCGGGCCCTGGTGGCCGATCTGTCCGAGACGGAGATACTGGAGTATTCATTGGCGTCACCCGGGGCACGGCAAGGGGCCCGAGATTCGCGAGAGGCCATTCTTGTCAGGGCCTGGTCGGAGGCTCTACGGGTTCCTCCGCAAGATATCAATGTGACGGACGAGTTCTTCCTTTTGGGCGACTCCATTGCAGCCATTGAGCTAACCACCGTCCTCCGAAGCCGTGGGTTCCATCTGACTGTGGCGGATATCTTCCAGCACCCCCGCTTAGAGTCACAGGCGCTGATTCTGGCGGAACTGGTTGGGGATCAATACCAGGAAGCGAAACCGTTCTCCCTGGTTGAGGGCATAGGAGCGCAAGACCTTGGGGTCATGCTGCGACTTTCCGAGGTCCCGCTTGGGGATCTTGATGACCTTTTACCGAGCACCCGCAGGCAGCAGGCTCTGTTCCTTAGCCAGACGGAACTCCCATCGCGACTGTCGCAGGTGGTCCTCGAGCTCGACCATACTGTGGGGATCCCCGAATTCCGCTTAGCTTGGTTGGCAGTCGTGAAACGCAGTAGCATCCTGCGGACTCGTTTGGTCGCTGATGGACAGGGAGGCTTGCTGCAAGCCGTTGCCAAACAACTGCCACCCTGGGAGGATATTTCCAGCCTGCGTGACCACCTCGCCGACCCACGCTTCAGTGGGCCTTGGCGCAATGGCCAGCCCTTGGTGCACTTTGCGCTTCGACAGGGTGATGATAGGTGTCGGAAAAGTGCCTTTGTCCTGTCGATCCATCCAGCACTGATCGATTGGGTCGCGCTACAATTGCTCCTTGACCAGTTCCAGAACGAATATCGTCAGCTAACGGGTGGCCTCACAATGCCCTACTCCCGTTACGTGGAGCACCTCACCCAGGCGGACCATGCAGCCTCCGCCATGTTCTGGATGTCGGAACTTTCGGAGCCGAACTACCTCCACTACCCAGATGTCCCCTCCTCCGTTGCCACGGCAGACCAGGTCTCGCGGTCCTCGCTCTCGGCGTCGCTTGATCTTCCCGACCGCTTGGATGAATTGCTGCCCCTCGACGCCCTGGTCCACCTCGCCTGGGCCGTGGTTCTTTCCTCTCGAACACTCTCGGACGATGTCATCTTTGGGACTGCGCGGGCGAGTCGCCCCGCATCGATAGGCACCCTGGAGGCAGTTATGGGCCCCACGGAAGCCGTCGCGCCCGTTCGTGTGCGGCTTACCAAAACAGACAGTATTCAAGTGGCCGTGGTGGCTCTCCAAGATCAACTGCAGGCAATCACGGTTTATTCTTGTCTGAACGGGCCCCAGCTCGCGGGCATTGGGCCAGAGGGAGAGGCGGCCAGTCACTTTCAGAATTTGTTGGTCGTTCATCCAGCGCTGAAAACGCCCCCAGATCTCCTGGCCACTATGGAAGGCTATCCACCCTTTCTGGATGCAGGTCGTTACCACCAGTATCCAGTCACGGTGGACTGTACTTTGGCAGCTGCCCGGGTCGAGTTGCGGCTTTCGTTCACAGAAGCGATCGTGTCCCAGGCGGAAGCTCAAGCACTCCTACGGCAGCTGCAGTCTGTTTTGCGCGAGCTGCTGTCACAGCCGGCGGAGACCACGATTCAGAACCTCTCACTGCTGACTGCTGATGATTACGCACAGCTCGTGGCCTGGAACCGCGCGGCACCGCAGCCCGTCCGCGAGACGGCGCATGGCTTGTTTACTGCACGAGCGCAAAGGCAGCCGCAGGCCGTCGCCGTGGAATCATGGGATGGCCGTCTCACCTACGCGGAGCTGGACCGGTATTCCACGCACCTGGGCCGGTATCTGCTGGCAGGTGGGCTTACGCCGGGCCGCGAGGTGGTAACCGTGTGTTACGAGAAGTCGCGGTGGACGCTGGTGGCGATGCTCGGTATTCTCAAGGCAGGCGGCGCCTTCAACCTCATGGACCCCTCGCACCCATCGCCACGACTGAAGTTTATTGCCGACGAAGTGGGCAGTCGCTTCATGCTGTGCTCCCCGCGATACGCGACCAAGGCGGCGGGGCTGGCCGCTCACCCGATCATCGTGGACGAGAGCTTCTTCCACCGGGACTTACCAACCGAGCAGTCCGCCGATCTCCCCGCCGTTTCACCGGACGCAATCATGTACGTCTTCTACACCTCGGGGTCTACGGGGATGCCCAAGGGCCACCGTACGCCGCATGCCGCCTTCTGCTCGGCCGCCACAGCCCAGGCCCGCGCCCTGGGGCTCTCGTCCACCACACGGAACTTCCAGTTTGCATCCTATGCATACGATGTCTGCATATCCGATATGCTGACGGGGCTGTGTGCCGGCACGTGCGTCTGTGTGCCGTCAGAGGAGGAGCGACTGGGCGATATTGCCGGCGCCATGGCACAGTTGCGCGTCAATTTCGCCAATTTGACCCCGACCGTGGCGCGTCTTTTGGATCCGGACCGAGTGCCGGCGCTACAGACCCTCTTGCTGGGGGGAGAGGCTCTCCAGCAGACCGACCTCGACACGTGGAGTGGGCGTGTGCGGTTGATGGCCGGTTATGGGCCCTCCGAGTGCAGTCCGCGGTCAACGGTCAATCCGCACCTGACGGCAGCGTCGAATCCGCGCAACATCGGCTTCGCAAGCCTGTGCAACTGCCGCGCGTGGGTGGTCGAGGTGGCCGATTATCACCGACTCCGGCCAGTCGGGCTCGTCGGCGAGCTGGTCATCGAAGGGCCCAACGTCTGCAACGGGTACCTTGGCCACGCTCAGCAGCGGACGGACTCGGGCTTCATCGACACTCCTCGCTGGTATGCCGAGCTGAGTCCCACCCTCCAACCTGTGGGCCGGTTCTACAAGACGGGAGACCTGGTGCGGTACGACCTGAGTGACGGCAGTCTGATTTTTGTGGGCCGCAATGATGCCCAGGTCAAACTGCATGGCCAGCGCGTGGAGCTGGGCGAGATCGAGTCACATGTTCGCGCTCTGCCGCTCGCGGATCCAAACCCGCAGAGCAGCAGTGACAGCAGCAGCAGCGGACTCATCTCCAAGGTTGTCGCCGAGTTGGCCCAGCCAGGCGGGCTTGTCAGGACCCCAAGCCTCGTGGTCTTTGTTCAATTCAGCCATCCCCATCGGGGCATTCCCGACGGATGGGCTGCCGCGGTGGCCCAGCACCTGGCTGCCCGCATGTCGGCGGCACTCGTCCCGAAGTACTACGTCGCCCTCGATGAGATTCCGCTCATGTCGTCAGGCAAAGTGAACCGCCGCGCGCTGCAGGCCCTCCCGGCTACTCTCACGGCGGAGCAGCTCGGACTCTCGACCGCTACTCGCAAAGAGAAGCTTCGGCCCAGCTCAACGGAGGAGTACCGGCTGTCGCAGCTATGGGCAGCGGTCCTGGATGTGCCAGAGGCAGAAACTGGGAGGGACGATCACTTTTTCGAGCTTGGCGGGGACTCAATTGCGGCAATCAAGTTGGTGGGAGAAGCGCGCCGGGCGGGGTTCTTACTCACCGTGGCGGATGTCTTTCAGCACCCGGTGCTTGCTTCAATGGCCACAAAGCTGACCATCCTCGCAACGGCTGCGCCGGGGATGTCGGCCCCAGCGGCGAGCCCTCAGATGACGGCAAGCTTGGCAGATCGTGTCAGTCGCGAATGGAACCTTCCCCGGGACACGATCCAGGATGTGTGTCCAGCCACGCCGCTGCAGATGAGCCTGATGGCGCTGACCACGCGCAATCCCAAGACGAACACCTTGCAGCACGTCTACCACCTGTCGGCCGATGTGGATGTGATGCGGTTCCGACGCGCCTGGGAGGCGGTCGTGGCGAGGAACGAGATCTTCCGGACACGGTTGGTCTTCGTCAAGGCGTCGATCCTGCAGGTGGTTCTGGCGGACAGCATTGCCTGGGAAACCACACCCTCGAGTCTGCCAGAGTACTTGTCTCGTGTGGACGATCGGCCCTTCAACTACGGCACGCCGCTCATGCGCCTGGGCCTGCTACCGGACGGGCACCGCGGCGGCTCGTACTTTGTTTGGACCGCCCACCACGTCGTCTATGACGGTTGGAGCCATTTCCGCACCTTGCGGCTGATCAAGGAGACATACGAGGCGGACGCGGTGCCCCCCTCGATCCCGTTTCGGACGTTCATCGCCTTTCTGCACCAGGCCGGTGAGGACGAGGCGCAGGAGCGGTTCTGGCAGAACGAGCTGGCCGGATTCGAGGGCACGGCCTTCCCTCCGCTGCCGCGTGCCGAATACTGGCCGCTCACGGATCGCGGAATTGACCATGTCATTACCCTCCGTTCCAATCTCGCTCCGCAATCCAGTTCCCAGTTCGCCAACATAACGCTCTCCACCATCATCCGAGTTGCCTGGGCGCTGACGGTCGGCATCCAGACCGGGACCGAGGACGTGGTGTTTGGGGCGGTGCAAACGGGCCGCATGGCGCCCCTGGCGGGCATCGTGGACATCATGGGCCCAACCATCACGGTCGTCCCCGTCCGGGTCCGGTGGGCGCGCAGCCTCACGCTTGGCGATCTCTTGTTGCAGGTCCAGGAGCAGGGTACGCGCATGATTCCGTATGAGCACGCAGGCGTCAAGGCCATTGCCAATATGGGGGAGGACTGTCGCGTGGCCGCCACCTTCCAGAGCCTGTTGGTGGTGCAGCCGGAGAAGACCGACGGTGCGGCGGCCACGGTAGCCGGCATGCGTCTGGTGCAGGTTACCGACCGCGAATTCCCTAGCTATCTGCTCTCGGTACAGTGCTCGATCCAGCGGAATCAGGTGCGCGTGCATGCCAGTTACGACTCGTCGGTGCTGTCGGGCGAATGGGTGCAGCGCATCGTCGGGCAGTTCGAACACCTGCTGCATCTTCTCGGCGATCCTCGGAACCTGCCGACGCCGGTGGGTCAGGGGGAGATCATCCCCGCCGCAGATGTGCAGCGGCTCCTCGCTCAAGACGCCGCCACGGCCCTTGATCGCAGCCCGGTGGACGACACAATAGCTTGGGCCATCGAGCGCCAGATGAAGTTGCAGCCGGACGCCCCCGCGCTGTGTGAGGTGGAGGGTCCGGGTATGAGCTACGGGGAGTTGGACCGACTTTCGGCCCGCCTGGCACTCCACCTGCGTACGCTTGGGGTTGGTCCGGAGAAAGTGGTGCCTTTCTGCTTCGACAAGTCTGTTTGGGCCGTCGTGGCCGTCGTGGGCGTGCTGCGGGCGGGCGGCGTCTGCGTGGCACTGGACCCTGGCCACCCCCCGAGCCGGCACGCGCAAATCCTGCAGGAGGTCCAAGCCACTCTGGTGCTGACCTCGGACGCGCACCGCGCGCTGTTCAGAGACCAAGGGGTCCCCGTTCTGGCCGTCGACCGGTCCCGGCTGCGCTGGCTGCCTGAAACGGTGATGACGGGGCCGACCTGCCATCCCCGGCTGCGGCCGGACCACGCTGCCTGGGTGGTGTTCACCTCCGGCAGCACGGGGACACCCAAGGGCATCGTGCTGGAGCACGCCTCCATATGTGCCACTGCGCGGGGCAACGCAAGCGCGTTGGGGGTGACGCGGCACACTCGCGTGCTGCAGTTTGCCTCGTTTGCGTTCGACGTGGCGATCGAGGATATGTGTATCACCCTGATGCACGGCGCCTGTCTGTGCATTGCTTCCGAACATGATCGCCTGAACAATCTGGGCCCCACCATGCAGCAGATGCGGGTGACGTGGGCGGATCTGACGCCGTCGGTGGCACGAACCATCGACCCCGAGGCGGTGCCGAGTCTGCAGACGCTGGTGCTGGGAGGGGAGCTGCTAGGCGACGACATCATCAGTAGCTGGGCAAACCGCGTGAACCTCTTCAACACGTACGGGCCTGCCGAATGTGCCATCTACTCCACGACCACGAGCCCCTTGGGGCTCGACGCCCGCGGGGGGAACATTGGCCGTCCCATCGGCTGCGCCTGCTGGGTCGTCGATCCCGACAATTACAACCGCCTGATGCCCGTTGGATGCACGGGGGAGCTCCTGATTGAAGGCCCCAATCTGGCCCGCGGATATCTCCACGACGAAGCTAAAACGCGCAGAGCCTTTGTGCACCCCACCTGGCTGGCCGAGTACCGAGGTGGACAGCGTAGCCGGTGCTACGCCACAGGCGACCTGGTGCAACAGAACCCGGACGGCGCCACCCTCACTTTTGTGGGCCGAAAGGACTCGCAGATCAAGCTACGTGGCCAGCGGATTGAGCTCGGGGAGATCGAACATCAGATTGCGGTCAGCCTCGCCGGCGAATCCTGGGCCACCGCAGTGGAGATTATCCGGCAGGCGGAACATCGTCAGGAGGCCCTGGCGGTCTTCTACTGGCCTACCCAGGCCACCGCCGATGCTCCGGATGCCGCCCCCCGAGTCGTCGACGACGACGCCCTTGAGGCCACGCGAACCGTCTTCCTGGAGCTCAAGGCGCAGCTGGCCCGGGTCCTGCCCAAGTATATGATTCCCACATTGTATGTGCCCCTTTCCTTCCCGCCGAGCACGCGGACGGGGAAGTTGGATCGACGGGCGTTGCGCAGCTTGGGAGCCAGCCTCTCGAGGGCGCAGGCTACCGCGTTTGCCCTCGAAGGAACCGCGGGCGGCACAGTCGCCAAGGTGCCGCCGCAGACGGAAATGGAACGGGTCCTGCTCGAGCTCTGGGGCACCGTTCTTGGCTTGTCGACGGAGCAGATGGGCATCCATGACAGCTTCTTCCAACTTGGCGGGGAGAGCGTCGCGGCTATCCGGCTAGTGGCCGCGGCGCAACGAATGAAGCTCGCCATCACCGTGGCGGACATTTTCCATCGCCCCGTGCTAGCCGACATGGCTGCATCCCTGCACCCTGAGAAGCAACAACAACAACAACAGTCCGCCGACGAGATGCTCTCTCCTTCTCCCACGCTCAGCAAGCGCACCGGTGCCGATCTCACCGCGCGCGTCAGTCGTGCCTGGAAGATTGGTTACGAGAGCATTGAGGACCTCTACCCCTGTACATGGCTGCAGGAAGACATGATCCAGGTGACTCGGCGGGTCTCCGAAGCAAACACCCTGCGCTTCATTGCGCACCTCGACACGGCCACGGTGGATCTGGCGCGGTACCAAGCCGCCTGGCAGCAAGTCGTGACGGAGAACCCGATCCTCCGGACGCGCATTGTTCGTGTAGACGATGACGACGATGATGGCTACGACGCCAGCGACGACAACTATCGAGCGCTGCAGGTGGTGGTGGACGAGCCGATCCAGTGGTGTACCTCCTACAGCCGGCTGAGCGACTATCTGCGCGAGGACCGCTCGACCCGCTTCGACTACGGGACGCCTCTGACGCGGTTTGCCCTCATCCCACATGGGCCGGATGAGTATTACTTCGTCTTCACCAGTCACCACGCCACGTACGACGGCTGGAGCGTGCGGCTCGTGCACGAGATGGTGGCGGATCTGTACACCGGCCGCCGCCGCCGTAGCCGCCTTGCCGTGGGCGCCGCCCCTGCCACTACCCCGACGCCCTACAAAGCTTTGGTACAATACATCGTGTCGCTTGAGCAGCAGCAGCAGCAGCAGCAGCAGCAGCAACCCATCCCGACCTACGTCGCCTTCTGGCGCTCGCAACTCCAGGGTTTCAGGAGCAGCACCCAGACGCTTTTCCCGGCGTTCCCCAGCGCAGACTACCGCCCGCTCACCGACAGCGTAATCGAACTCACCCTGCCCCTACCCTCGAAACCTCGGTCCAACAACAACAACAACACCCCCACCCCCAAGGTTGTCACCATCTCGACCCTCCTGCGCGCCGCCTACGCTCTCGTGCTGGCGGCCCAGACACACACGACGGACATCTGTTTCGGGGCCGTGCAGGCCGGCCGCTCCATCGCGCTGCCGGGGATCTCGGAGTTGGTCGGCCCGGCCATCACCCTGGTGCCGGTGCGTATCCGGTGGAATGATGCCGGCGGCGGCACGACGGTCCGCAGCTTCCTCGAAACCATCCAGGACCAAAGCACGGCCATGATCCCCTACGAGCACATCGCCAAGCCGCGCATCGCAGCCCTGGATCCGGACTGCGCCGCCGCGTCCGCCTACCGGTGCCTGTTGATCGTGCAGCCGGCGTCGGCGACGGGGCCAGCCTCGGCCATCCACGGCGTCACGCCGATCAAGACCAAGTACCCCGAGTTCCTGGAGTACGGGCTCAGTCTGGAGTGTCGGTTGGCGGCGACGGAAATGGTCGTGCATGCGGACTACGACCGGACGGTACTGGGGCCTGAGGAGGTGAACCATGTGATTCGGCTGTTGGGGACCGCGCTGGGAGGGCTGGCGGGTGAAGACGAGATGGGGATGACGGTGGGCCAGTTGGTGAGGCGGTTGCGTGAGGAGTGAGTTTCGTGTTTGATAGAATTGTCGGGGGACGGAATTCCACCTCTCATTTTTCTTTCTGCTTCTTCTTCCGTCCCCATCCAAGGGAAAACTTCTTCTCGATCCAACTCTATTAGTGTCTGCCCTCTTTTTTGGTACTGGACTGTATAAATGAGGATGGGGTGTCTGCCCTCTTTCTTTAGTACTGGACTGTACCAATGAGGATGGGAGATTTATACGAGTACTCGGATTGAGCTTCTTATAGGCTACTTCACGGTTTGTCGGTGGAACATCTGTCAATCTCGGGGAATTTGGATTTTGTTCATTGGGGAATAACAAACTTGTGTGTGTGTGTGTGTGTGTGTGTATATTAGGATAGTGTTGGACATAGCATGTAAATAGTATTGGCTCCCAAGGCCTGCGGTTGACATACTGTGACTTGAAGTACGTACCTGCCAGGTCTACTTTACAGTTGACGATTCAACGCCCGGCTTGTGTATGTCCCAGCGATAGCGGTATCATACCACCTGTCCCGCTGGGCTGTATGTCTGTCCGTCCCTTTGAGGCCACCCGGCAGGAGGTTTACTCCATTGCCTCATTACTTCACCCCGAACCCCTATTGGAACCAACCCTACACTACCTATGGCATAGGTAACAAATAAAGCTCAACATTGTCGCTAACACCACTCAACCCGAGCGGTCACTCATTCACTATGTACAATCCCACCAACCCCGGACCATCGCCCGCCAGCCGGCAATCAAACCCTTCCCCCCTTCAGACCCCCGGCAGCAGCAGCAGCAGCAGCAGCCACCAACGCCTCGACCTCCGCCGTATGCTCAGAGAAATGATCGACCAGATCGTCCCACATCTTCGGCTCGTGCTCGTGGCGCTTCTCGCTCGTCCAGGCGAACTCCGTGATCGTGAAGGGGCGACTCGACTCGAACATGAAGGCCATGGAGGCCTGGGAGATCTGCATGGCGGGCGGCGCGGTGGCGGTGGCGGATTGGAATTCTTCGTAGGCGACGCCGTGGGGGACCACTTCATTCATATTAGTTATATTGATTAACTTATGTGTTTGATTGGTAGACAATGATAGAGGATAGGAGAAGAAAGAAGGGCCACTCACTCCCGCATTCGAACGAGACGCTGCCCGGCTGGAAGGCGTCGGAGCGGCCGCCGTAGTCGCCGTAGAGGAGGCCCATGAGCTCTGAAGCGGCGTTGCGGTGGTAGTACGGCGGGCGGTAGGTGTCTGCGCAAAGTATTAGGATCGAATGGTGATAGAGAGACAGGGGTCAGGGGCCTACGTGATGCGACATCCCAGCGCGGGGAGAAGATAAGCACATCCGCCAAGGGAGCGGTGAGGTCGCGCGACTTGGCCGTCAGCACACAGAAAATGGAGGGGTCGATGTGATCGACGGAGATGGAGCCGACGTTGACGAATTTGGTCAGGTCGTATTTGTATGGGACCTGCAAAGTATTAGTGCCTTGGCACCTTTCTGGGGCAGGGGCAAGCGTACATAGTTCCCATGCCAGGCGACGACGTCGAATGGACTGTGGTTCTGCGTGCTTTTGAAGAACTTCCCGCCGAGCTTGTACACAATCTCCCACGGTTCCTGCGCGATCTCGTACTTGGCGGTGGGCACGAGGAAGTCCCGCGCGTTGGCCAGGCCGTTCGCCCCCAGCGGGCCCAGCTCGGGCAGCTCGAACTGACTGCCCCAGATCTCGAGGATGTATCCCCGCGACGGCCCATCGGGCAACTCCACCCGGAACCGGATGCCCCGCTGGATGACCACCAGCTCGCCCGGCTGCACGAACAAGGGCCCGAACTCGGTCTGGATGTCCAGGGCGCCCTGTTGGGGCAGTATCACCATCTCCCCGTCGGAGTTGACAAAGGCCTTCTTCGTCATGTTGGCATTCGCCGTGTAGACGTGCGTGGCCAGCCCCTCGCGGAGGGTGGGCTCGCCCGAGCCGGCCACGGTCTTCAGTCCGTCAACGAAGTCCACTTGCTCGGTGCTGGGAATGTCGAAGGGGAACCAGGCCAGCTGGGTGGGCGACACGTGGACGCGGGGATTCATGGGGAGGAAGTTCGCCTCTGTGTCTTTGTTGTCGGGGAGATCGGTCTGATTGGTACGTCAATCTGTGGTCTGATCTGTCAACGCTTTCGCTCTACTCACGAATCCCTGGTGTGCCACGGCCGGCCGCGCACGATACAGCCAGGCCTTCTTGTTGCAGTGTCGAGGCGCAATGAAAGCGCTGGCCGTGATCTGCTCCGCATACAGCCCGAAGCGGACATTGCGGGGACTGTTCTGGCCCTGTGGGATGGTGCCAGGGACAGCCTCCGAGACGAATCTGTATGCTATATCAGCTTGGTGAATTGCTGATGCGGGAAGACAGTTGAACATACGAGTTGCCAAACCCGGCTTGGTACTATGGATGGATTAGCCTTGAGCTAGCACGACTACACTGTGTCCGCGTAGCGACATACCTCATAAGGATCATTCCGTCGCGTGTTGAACGACGGGATCGTGCCGTCCTTTTGCGTCTCTGCCCAGTGGAATATCTTCTGGTATTCTTGGGGATCTGATAGATCGCTGGTGGAAGGCATGTTGGGATGATGAGGTTCAGAACAGACAGAACAAGGATCGAGGAATCGGAGAGATATTTTGTTGCTATGGACTTGGAAGATTGAATGCCAAATTGTTAGGCATGGACCTCCAGCGTCGTGCCATCCTGATATACTTCAGTTTGTGGGGTCAAGGCCGCGCCACGGCAACAGTGAACAATGAACGAATTATTGAGACCACCGGCTATCCCGGAAACCAGAGCGTGAAGTTGACAGGGTGGCTGGCTGAGCTGAGCGCGAGGACAAGGAGGAAGTGAGGCCACAAGCAGGCAAGAGATGGAGTTCGGCATGTCGCGAGGGAGGATTGTTGCCGAAGAGGAGGAGGTGGAAGGGAAGCTGGGGATCATTTGTGGAGGGACCCCACATGAGTAAGATCTGAGTAACAGTGGGGGAAAACACCGTCTCGGATCGAAAAACAGCCCAGAATTGCCGGGCTCGCCTCCATCCCTCCTCTTCTACTACTGTGTATACACCCTACATCATCATCAACTTCAATTCATGAGACTAATCTTCCCTGCCGACACTCCAAACACCACGGGCATGTACACCCCAATACCCGCCTCTCGCAACACCTGCAAATGCTTTACCCGTCGTCGGGCAGCGAATTGCGCCTCATTGATCTCCTGACATTCTCCAAGCGGTCCAAAGGCGAAGCGTCGTGCCTCGGACCATGGCTGTCTGCCATTTGCAAAGCGTACCCACCGCTCCCTCATCTCTCGACCAACGGTGTCAGCCGCGCGGTTGAACGAGAGATCAATGCCCCCAAATAAGAACAGAAGGTCCACGGCATGGTGCGCTCGGTTAGACGCCTGCCAAGGGTTGACCTGGTCGATGACATACTTGTAGACCCGTTTGCCGGCCGCTTGGAGCTTGTCGGAGACGACCTCCACCGGCAGGGAGTAACGAGTGTCGTGGAGTAAATCCAGCGCTCCCAATTTACAAGCTGTCGGGCGATCGGCCACGACCTGGTAGAGTTTGCGCAACTTCTTTCCCCAAGCGGGATCTTGCTCGAAAGCAGCCGCGATTGTTGACCCATCGAGCGTCTCCATGCCGTTCCTCCAGATGACCGACTGTGTTGCGGTCAGTCAAAACTCAATACCACAGTTGTAGCGCTTACCTCGTATTCTGTATCTCCAATCATGACTTCCTCCACCAGCTCAGGCGTCGCCTCCCACCCGTCAAAGCTCTCGTCTTCTTGGAGCCAGAAAGAGTTCATCTTGCACTCCTCTATGGCCTGGACAATGGCCGCCACCGAAGCGTGACGGAGAGAAGGCTGGCCCACATCTTTGACTTTGGCCTGCAGCGTCGCAATCAGCCCCTGGCCTTTCTCCACAGGCAGAGGACTGGAGAGATAGATGGAGCCTGAGGCGAGGACCGCTCGTTTCACCGGAGTGCCAGTGAGCAGATGGGCGTGCACATAGACCGCACCAGCACTCTCTCCAGCCAGCGTAATATTTTCCTAGATCATGAGAAGATCAACGACAATGCTCTCCCATGTAAACCAGACCTCCCAGACACATACCGGATCACCCCCGAAGGCAGCGATATTCCTCCGCACCCATTCGATCGCCAACTTCTGGTCTTTGAGCGCGAGATTCTTCTCCTTCCCATCGCCGAACCCGAAAATATTGAGCCGATAGTTACACGACACAAAGAGAACAGGCTGATCACTCTTGATAGAGTCCCCCACAATCTGGATCGGATCTGAGTCCCCTCGCCCCACGTAGTCAGTTACCATCCACAGCTGGAGCCCAGTCTGACGCCAGAAAACTTACCGCAAATCTTCGACGCCGCAGAACAGAACGTCACAGCCTGTGACCCGCCTGTAGAACAGCATCACAATTAGTGACCGACCCCTCTCCCAACCCAAGGAGAAAGTCCCTCTCTGTGTCGCAAAAGCCACCTACCATAAATCCACAGCAGAACCGGAAGTGGTCCCTTAGACGCAGCCAAAGGGGGCCCGGTGATGTTCAAGTTCAGGCATTCAAACTCATCCTCGGGTTCTTTCTCGATCACGAAATCCTCGGGGATGCGGAGGAGATGTCGGACGTCGACATCGGCCTGCGGACATCTCGGTCTGGGAATCGCTTTCTTAGCTGGGAACAGGAACATGTATAGACAGACAGTAAAGGGGCGGAGAGAGACAATAGTACCCGTATCGCGTAGCATCAACGGCAGCGCCATCGAAGCTCTCCACCGGCTGCGCTTGCTCGAACCGCGCGGGGATGTCGGCATACTTGATACCGCGGAACTCGTGAACGGGGACACCGTCGATTTCTCGTTCGATACCGTTGAATGTGGCTTGGAGGCTGGCGTGGTGGATCTGTGGGGATGCCATGGTAATCGGAGACTGGGGGGATTAATGGTAATGGCACAGTAGAAGGGATGGGGGAGAGAAGAGGGAGACAGGCTGGACTAGTTGCCATCAGTAGGACGCTTTATGTACCGTTCATTTTGGTGTGTCTGGTACAGGACCTACCTACCTTGTCTCCCATTAGTCCGGCTGATGGCCAGGCTATGGAATCCCGATGTTTAGATTATTGTGCCGGTGGTGCAGTGGTGGGTCCGGTTTGCGGGGAGATCCACCCTCCACCACCCCCTCCGGCTGGGGCAGATTCCCTCGGCTGGAAAGGACGGGTCTCCAATAACTTCTCGCAACTACTCCTTACGCGCACTTACGCACTTCATCCCTCGTCACAGGCAACAGGAACAGCATTACAGCACCACTAACATCGGCGATCATCTGCCTATCTTATTTTCACTGTGAGTAGTTATCATTATATCAAGTTTAGTCAAGCCAATCTAGCTGATTCGTATAAAGTCATATAAGGCATCAACTCCCAAAACACCGCCCAAAATATCACATATCCCACCACTGCACGAAATCACCATTAGCCTCTGGATCAGGGCGACTCGACCTTGGAAGAAGCCCCGTCGCGCACTGTGCCCCGCAGGCAAATATAGGTAGGAATGCCAGTCACCCCGGACATCAACGCCAACGCCCAACTCATCGTGCTCCAACCGGCATCGTTCTTGATGAAGCCCGCGAAAAAGGGCCCGATGATCGTCCCCACCGCGTACGCCATGTTGATGACCCCGTACGCAAACGCAATGGCCCCTCCCTCCCCGAAAATCCCGGGCGTCTCCGCCTCCCGGCCCTGCACGTAGTAGGTCGCCTCCACCAGAACCGGGGACATGATCAGACACACGCAGACCCCGATCAGGACAAGCAGCGCACACAAGAGCACTTTGTGGCCCACCGTGTTCTCGGTCACAAAGCGAAGACAGGCCAAAGCCGGCACCGCCACAAGAAACCCCCCGGTCGCCATGTACCGTCGAGTCTGGCCGTAGTTGTCGATGATGTACCCCACCACAGGATCGAGGATCTGCGGCACCGAGATCGCGATGAAGATGAGCCCTTGGCCGGTTTGGCCCCAGCCGAACTTCTGCTCGACAAACAGCGGCAGCACGCTGTCGAAGGACGTCAGGGCGAGGGAGAGGATGAAATACGCCCACATGCTCGTCATCATGCGGCCCGAGGTCAAGAGTGTATGCATGGTGCTGGGCCGTTTCTTCGCAGATCCAACGTCGGTCGAGGCGGAGGAGGAGGAGCGCTCCTGCTCGTGGCAGTCGTGCGGGGGACCTTTCAGGCCCTCGGAGGCTGCCGGTGAAACAGCAGTTTCCAAGTCGCTGCCACTTCCTTGCTTCTCTGCCGGGACAATCGGTCGACCATCGGCCTGCAACCACTTGAGTGCGTCCTTCCTCTCGATCATGGCGAGTCGAAAGATGACATCCAATGCGATTATGCCAAACGACATCCCAAAAACAGCATAGTAGCCCCCGGCACCGTAGACGACTCCTCCCAGGAGCGGGCCTGTCATTGTTCCTATGGTCATCGCCATTCCCAGATATCCCAACGCTTGGCCCAGATATTCCTGCCCGACTGTATCAACGAGCAGCGCTATTCCCACAGTCCACACAACCGCAGCAGACGCTCCTTGAAAGAGACGCCCAACAATCCATAAAGCAAGATTCGTCCCGACGCAAAGAAGAGCAGTGGCGGCGGCGAGAACCACCAGTCCCCCAATAAAGGGCCACCATCGTGACTGGAATTTATCGGCCAGGTACCCACAGATGGCTAAGAGGAAATCAGTCGGTATGTATCGTACAATGGCTCAAAAATTGGAGAAACCCACGTGAAACTGCTAACAAAGATACTCCGTAAAGAGACAGCAAGGTCGATTGCCACGATTGAACTTAGTCACGGTAAGCTGGAGCAATTCGTCGACTAACCGTAAAAAACATACCATCGGCGTCGGACATCCCAACTCTATCGCGCAGGGCCGTTGGGGCCACGGGCACAATCTGCGAGGAAGGTCAATATAAGCTGTCGGGGAAATCCCCGCCACTAATGCCCCGGAGTCCAAGCGTACCAACCCATACATGAAGACATCCTGTCAAAAGGCCAACCGTCAGCAAACATAACCCGAAATCGGTTGGATGATGTCCTGTACCGTGAAGACGGCGAAGCAAACCACGAAGCAGATGAACGCATCGGATGTCCTCCACTTGAGAAATCTGGGTGGTTGCTGCTGCGCCTGGTTTGACCACAAACCACACAGATCCCGCACCATTTTGTTAATGTCTGTTCTCGATTTGAGACAAACATCTATTCAGAATCTCCTTCAATTGAATGACGTAAGAACAACCGTTTTCTTCTTTTTTTTTCTTCGAATCGTCCTGAGCGTACACCTAGACGGAGAAAAAGAGCGAGAGTGAAACAGACGGAGGGAAAAGAGAATCTAAAGTGGATGTTAGGAGATACAGGTCTCATGTTAATCAATCAAGGAGTGTCTGCAAGGGGGAGAGCTGATAATATGATGGCGGGAATTCGCGAGGCTCGGCCTTTGTGCCTGGAGTCGTGGAGGAATGTTTGAAGTATAATAATCAGGATTCGTCCGGCTCCTTCCACCACTACGGAGTCGACATTTTGAAGTGAACTGGCCTTGGCCGACTTGGCCGACTCGCTGGCTTATGCTCTTGACATCTTATACGCGCGGCCGCGCCGGTAAATGACAGGATAAAAGGCTATTCGTGGTCTCATTCCATAGCATTGACTCTTGTCAAGGGTTGACAAGGGGTGTTCAAAGTCTATACATCTCGCTGCGGCTTTTAATCCCATCAAATACACAGGTGTTGTCCAAGGGAACATACTGCCTGGTTATAACCTTGAGGGCCTCCTGTGCGACTAGCCCTCCTGTGAGGGCAGACACATTGTGCAATTCACCGCCTTGCGTTCGCCGAAGCTCTTGAGTTCTCTGTACAATTCGCTGTTTGGTTTCCTCGTTGATGGCTGCCGACGCCTCCGACGTAAGGGACTGAATCACCCGATCCAATCCTGCCTCCCACGCGAGGGCGGAATCCAACGCTTCCTCGTTTTGCTTGCCGCTCGCTATGTCGGTGATTATACTATCAAGAATATCGAAGCCGAGGAAAGCAGAGACCAGTGGCTCAGGGTCACCCAGAGCATTGTTGATGGCTTTCACAGTGTACTTCTCACTGTTCAATTGAGGAAGGTCACGACCATGGATGACCTTGATATGAGCCGCATTCTTACAGAAGACTTCAATATCCTTGTCCGCGATCTGCGCAGGCCGGGGGCTGAGTTCTGCTTCAAGCCTCCGAACGACTTCAATGACCTCTGCCATATCTTTTCGTGCCTTCGACTTGTAAATGTTCTGCAGCGACACGTAGTCGGCTGACTGTGCTTTCATGTCAGGCAACGAGCCTGGCAGCGGAAGTACGTTGTGTTTCGTGTAGAATTCACGGATAGCTGATGCGATGAGCCAGAAATCCGCTGTTTCCGAGGTCAGATTGTTGCACTCGTCCATCTCGAAGATCTCGCGGATTGAACTCCGCAAAGTGAAAGGGTTCAGTGACTTCAGGACTGCGGCCACGGCCTCATCATAATTTTCCTCGCCACCTTCAGGATTGGCCGTCCGTGCGCCAGACCGCACTAGATCTCTGAATGCAGTTTTCTCTTTGTAGTTGGAGGGGACATTTCCGTCGTGGGTCTCCTTCCACTTTTCCAGATAGTGAAGCAAGAGTAAGATGTAAGGTACATGACCATGTTGATGATCGTCCAGAGTCTCCAGATTGCTAATACTAGCCAGAGTAGCCGCCAGTTCAGGCCAGGGGTTGAGCAAGCGTAGATCCTGCGTGCTTTCGGGGTCCGGATGTGTCTCTACTATGGGGAAAACAGCCGGAAGCTGGAGAGAAAAGGTGGAGTAGAAACCCACTGAGCGCGTATACAGGACGGGGATGCCAAGAGCTTTGGCAGCACTGCTGAGAGTGATCAGAGTCGACTTGTTTGCCGGACCTGAGACCAGAACCAGTTTGAATTGTGGTAGAAATTCAGGGTCTTGCAGAAGCTCGGTGACCGGCTGCCGGGTGATTGCCGTTAGCACTGGGACCATGAGAGAATAGGAAGCTTCTTACAGGTGCGATATACCTTGGATTCAGAGTTTCCTTCTACGTCGGGGTTTAGTTCTTTCAGCAAGCGACAAGTCTCCTGGGCTCGAGACTTCCCTAGACTGTCCTCCTCGAGGAAGAAGTTGACCCCAAGGTCAGGCTCCGTCACCACCGCAGGGTCCACGATGGTGAAGCCGCCAATGCCAGGAAGCACGAGGTTCTTGAGGGTCTCCACTCCAACTACCCCGGAGACGCCGGTGCTCTGTTTACCCCATGGGCCATCGGAGTTGACTAGAAGTACACGTGCTTCCTCGAGCGCTTGTTGGCCACTTGCAGCCCACAGCCGCAGTTGCCGGTCATATTTCCTCTCCTTGGATGATGGCCCTACCAGGGCCTCGGGGAAAGCTTCAGTCATGAGGGGCTATCGTCTGATAAGCGGAGCAGATCGGCTCACAATGCTCACAAAATGCTGAGTTGAGTCGAGATTGTAGAGGCGGTGAGAGGCTCGAGCTGTATCAACCAGGCCTCTGTGAATCGGAGATCTAAGAGCCAGCACTGAGGTCTTCTGTAGTCTGGCTGTAGCTGGTCATGTGTGATGTGTACTAGGTAGTACTTTATTGATGGCAGTGGTTGGGAGCACTTGTTCAACGCTGACACGTGATGAATGCACGCACGGATCAGGCAGGAGGGTTTTACACCTGAGGCACGAACGACTATGACGAAACACAACCCCGCCGGGCCAAAATGTCCCTCTCCATAACAATACCTTAGTTACTCGTTTGCAATAAATAGAACAGACTCAACGCCACCATTGAACAACATTGCCAGCTTTAGAGGTGACAGTTGGCAGCTAGTATGGCGGGATTGGTTGCTCGGGGCAGTCTCAACAATATTCTGTGAGTAGTGGCGCATCAATTGGCAGCTCTCAAAAAGTTCTACCTTATGCTGGCCGCAGTGCCCTTTCCATCCACCCCACCGGCGGCGGGCACCACTGGTCCGTCCAGTCCGTATTCCGCAGTACCTAGCCTCTTTCTTCCTCCCCTCCCCCGATCTGGCAGTTTTAAGCCCCTCCGAGTCCCGAGTCCCCCGTCTAGCCCGGACTATTAATACGAATTGCAGAACCCGGTCGACTTCTTCTCTTTCTGCGCTGCTCAATCATCCTTGTTATCGATCTAGACGACGCCTCATCCGTCCCTCCCCACCTCCTCCCATCTCAACCGTCCTTTTCGCGTCTTCGCATCGCCGGAACTCCACCATGGCCAGCGTCAGCGTCATCGAAGCCGCAAAGCGCGCCGCCGGCAAGGCGGCCGTGGAGAACCACTACCCCAAGGACGCCAAGTTCGTCGGCATCGGCAGCGGGTCGACCATCGTCTACGTGGTCGAGGCCATCAAGGAGTCCGGGGTCGACACCTCGGCGACCAAATACGTGCCCACGGGCTTCCAGTCCAAGCAGCTGATCCTGTCGGCCGGGCTGACGGCCGTCGACTTCGACTCTCTCCCGGAAGGCACGGTGCTGGACGTGGCCTTCGACGGCGCCGACGAGGTGGACGACGATCTCAACCTGATCAAGGGCGGCGGGGCGTGTCTCTTCCAGGAGAAGATCGTGGCTCTGCAGGCCAAGGAGTTCATCTGCGTTGCTGGTGCGTCGTCCCCCTTTCCTTCCTTCCTTCCCTTTGAAAACACCCACCCCGTATGGATGATGCCACAGATCACTGACTTCATGTGTGTTTCTCGCTCGCGCGCAGACTCCCGCAAACTCCAATCGCGCCTCCTGTCCAACTGGAAGTACATCCCCATCGAAGTCGCCCCGATCGCCGCCGCTCGCGTCCTCACGGCCCTCCGCGAGATCGGCAGCATCCAGCCCGCGCTCCGGCTGAACACCGACCCCAAGCAAGGCCCTTTGAAAACTGATCAGGCGTTCTACATCATCGACGCTCCCTTCCCGACGCTGTTGACGCAGTCCGACGTCGCGGCCGGCAAGGAGGGCAGCGGAAAGGACGGCATCTGGGAGGTCGAGGCCCTGTCGCGAACGATCAAGCAGATCCCCGGTGTCCTGGACGTCGGGATCTTCTCTGGCCTGACGGGCCCGCAGGCCCGGGCCCTGGGCGGCGTTGGCGGGCAGAAGCCCATTGCCGCCTACTTCGGGATGCCGGACGGTTCTGTCTCCATCAGGAAGGCGGCCGCATGAGTGGATTTCTGTAAAAAATCCCATGTATGACGATTTACTCCATTGAGAAGATATAAAATGATACCACTTGAACATTTAGCATCGTTGACTACTTTACGTTTACCTGACTAGTCTCCAGTAACTGTACGACCCCGAGACGGGTTATTGTTGGAAGTGGACTCAGCGTGCAGTCATCACAGGATATAGATTTCATGATTTAGGTTTTAAGCATGACAGTGTATTTATTTAGCGCCCTTGCCCTTGGCCTCCGTCTCACCCAGCTCGCGCACGAAGATCTTGACCGTTCCCTCGGCCACGTCCTCCTTGCCATCCTCGAAGCCCGGGCTGATGGCAATGGCAAGGTACTTGCCGTTGGCGCTAAAGTCCACGGCGGCCACGCTGGACGGCAGCTTCTGGTACTGGCGGATTCTGCGCTTGGCCATGCCGTCCCACAGGGCGACGACGCCGTCGCCGCCGCCGGAGGCAAACGTGCCGTGCACGGGGTGGAAGGCGAGGGTGTTGACGGGGTAGACGATGTCGACCTCGTCGGCGGTCTGGCGGTGGCACTTGAAGGCGTACTTGCGGGCCTGGGACTCGGCGGAGGGGTCGAACCACTCGACGGCGACGCGGCCCTCGATGCTGGAGGAGGCGTAGCCGGCGTCGTCGGGCATGCAGGCGACGCACCGGGTCATGAACTTCAGGCTGCTCTCGCGGCGCTGCCAGGGCTCGACCTCCACCTTGTTCAGCGCGCCGGGGGCCGAGCCCTCCGACTGGGCGGTGAGGAGGGCCAGCGCCTTCAGGTCGTAGATGTGCAGCGCGCGCGACGCCATGGCGACGACGAGTTTCGTGGCCGTCAGCGACATGGAGAACGGCTTGGAGGGGAGCGGGATGACGGCGGGGAGCGTGGCGGGGTCGTTGGTCAGGTGCACATGCAGCGTGCAGTCCCACGAGGCCGATATTACGAGCTGGTGGTCCCGGCTGTAGACGACGCTGCGGACGCCGGCCTCGTGCGTGCTGAGGACGGTCTGCGTGGACGAGGCGACGTCGATTCTGTTCGGTCGTCAGTAAACCTGAGTAGGGCAAGATGGGAAGCCCGCGTCTAACGAAGTAGCACCACCATCATTTTCAGAATCCAAACAAAAGGCCTAACTCACTTCCGCACATCCCAATCCAGCCCGGCCGTGTAGATCTCATCCTCCGTTGCGCCAAAGCACACATCCAGCACCGGCGCGCGATGCTCGAACTTCTGCTGCAATTTGCCCTCCCCTACCGCCCCATTCTCATCCCGGAGATCGTACAGGTAGACATTCTTGTCCCACGACGAGACAACGATGCGCGTGGAGTCGGGGTTTGGCGAGAACTTGAGCGCGGATATGGCATCCGTAGGCGGGGACGCGACGACGAACTGATCTGCAGGCTAGTTAGCACGAGCTGTCCCAGAACCCCAATCAGCCCAGAGGGATGCAAACTGACTAGATGCCATGATACTTTCTGTAAATTCCCTTGGCTGGGGAATCTCAAAGCTTTCGAACGAAATAACCGTTTGTTGATCGGTCCCGGCGTCATCGAAGCTCCGTCGCCCGGCGGCGCCTTCAGATCCGTTTTCTGTCGCCACTGACCGCCCTCCATGGAATATTCTCCCCCGCCATTTGCATCATCACGGTTTCCGATAGCCATCAATAGATCTTTTGGGGACAAGCTGCCAGAGAGGAAGCAATCATGCCGTTCGCACAACTGGTGATCGGGCCCCCAGGGGCCGGGAAGTCGACCTACTGCAACGGCATGCAGCAGTTCCTCGGGGCCATCGGCCGCAAGTGCTCGATCGTGAACCTGGACCCCGCGAACGACCAGACCTCGTATCCGTGCGCGCTGGACGTCCGCGACCTGGTGACGTTGGAGGAGATCATGAGCGAGGACCAACTGGGACCGAACGGGGGCGTGCTATATGCGCTGGAGGAGCTGGAGGAGAACTTCGATTTCCTCGAGGAGGGGCTGAAGGAGCTCGGAGGTATGCGCGCCATCCCGATCTACCAAGCCCAAGGCAAAACCTACTATAGAGACACAAATGCACTGATACTGGTATTCTCAAACATGTAGATGACTATGTTCTATTCGACTGCCCCGGCCAAGTCGAGATCTTCACACACCACTCCTCCCTGCGCAATATATTCTTCAAGATCCAGAAACTGGGGTATAGAGTATGCGCCGCGTTTCCCACTCCATGCGAGTCAACTTCCAAAAGCTAACACGAGCGCGAAATAGATGATCGTGATCCATCTCATCGACTCCTACAACCTCACCCTCCCCTCGATGTACATCTCCGCCCTCCTCCTCTCGCTGCGCGCCATGCTGCAGATGGACCTCCCGCACCTGAACGTGCTCACCAAGATCGACAACCTGGCCAACTACGCCCCCTTACCCTTCAACCTGGACTACTACACCGAGGTGCAGGACCTCAGCTACCTGCTGCCGCACCTGGAGGCCGAGTCGTCGCGCCTGGCGCACGAGAAGTTCGGCCCGCTCAACCAGGCCATCGTCGACCTGGTCGAGGAGTTCGGGCTCGTCGCCTTCGAGACGCTCGCTGTCGAGGACAAGAAGAGCATGATGAACCTGCTGCATGCCATCGATCGCGCCAGCGGGTATGTGTTCGGGCCCGCCGAGGGCGCCAACGACACCGTCTGGCAGGTGGCGGTGCGGGAGGGGTTGGGTCAGATGGATGTGCGGGATGTGCAGGAGCGGTGGCTGGACGCGAAGGAGCAGTACGACGAGCATGAGCTCCAGCAACTGGAGGCGGAGGCGAAAGCGCGCGAGCAGGCGGCGGGAGGAGACCACCCGGGCGACGAAAACGACGACGATGAATACGGGGATCTGGGCCGAGGCTCGATACCGAACAGCGGGGTGAAGGTGATACGAAAGTCATGACATTTTCTTCCGTGTTTCAAAAACATGTCTCTACATTGTATAATAAGGGTATCTCTAATATATCAAAACCGCAAGCCAAAGTACAGCACAACACAGTTCCCCACCTCCACAAAAGCACAGCACTCACAGCCTCACAATCCATCATCACTCAAACCCTCCTCCATAACATCATCCACCTCAACACCGCCTGAAGCCCCCTCCGCAAACCCGCCCACCAACCCCTCCAAAACCCCATCTTCATCAGCACCAGCACCAGCACCAGCACCGACACCCCCACGCATCTTCAAAACCTCCCTCCTCGCCCGCCGAATCGCCTCCTCCTCGGCCTTCCGCATCGTCCCAGACACCCGCACAACGCGCACAACACACCGTCTCGTCAGCGCCGGATTCCGTCCTCCTCCAGCTTGATCAACTTCAGGCACGGCCTCCAAGCACGTCAACGCCATCCACACCAACCGGAACGACGCGCGGGGACACCGGATGATCGCCGTCGATGTAGCCGGGGAAAGGTATTTGACTGCCGCACACACAGAGAGACACAGCGGTTAGCTTGGAGCATAGCAAATCCCCCTCCCACGAACACCATCACAACCAAGTCAAGAAAGAAAAGGAAGGGGGAAAGACATACCACTAACACCGCCGGCACCAGCCCCGCCCAGCCGGCCGACGCCCCAATCGCCGAATAACTCGGCGACCTGTTCGCGGACCAGTTTGGCCAGCAGGCTCGGCGTCAGGGCGTCGGAGGTGGGCGCGTGGATCTGGAGTTGCGGGATCGTTGACGAGGACGAGGAGGAGGTCGAGGCGGGCGGGTGGCGGCGGGGCCAGGTGGTCGGGTCCGGGTAGAGGATGTCGAGGAGGAGGTAGCGGTGTTTGATGCGGACCATTTTGGTGCGGTGGTAGCGGGATGGATGGGGTTTTAAGGTGGAAGAGATCGGTGGATATCCAAGTGTGGTAGAGGTTGGAGTGTGGAATTAAGGTTGGATTGGACGGGTTTGAGGTCGCGTAGTGTTGTGGTCGACTTCGACAGCGGACCTCTTTGTTTGTTCAGTGGGATCGAGGTTTCTTGCGCGTCAAAACCTCGAAGCTATGGTTGAGCGCTGGACGGCGATGAACCTGTTGGCGGTGATGGGATTGATTTTCTGCCGGGCATGTTCGGCCAGACATGTGGGGCGCCGGGCTCCTGTCCCCGCCAAGACAACCACCATCGAAGATGCATTCAGCGGTTGGATTATCTGGGTAATGTTCATTTTAGGATTGAATTTTTTATGTTTGGGTCAACACATCGTTCAAAAATCATTTCAGAATCATAATTTACGATTGATTATTCTATGAAAGCACCTTGTCTGAATCATCGCGTTAAATTCATCAACCTTATCAGCTAGTCATGCCACACGTGCCACTACAGATTGTAAGTTGGAAAGGAAGAGGTATGAAGTGAACCAAGCCAATGCAGAAAAAAAGAAAAACAAGCCATCATAACTCCGACGTCAGCTGGGACGGATTTTATGACTAGGTCATGAAATGCAAGTATATTAAAAGGGGATGGTAGGAAATTAGACGGTGACCTCAACACGGCCCTCCGAGCCACCCTTCTGGAGGGCGGGGAGGAGGTAGGTGATGTCGTCCCAGGGGTGGCGGTAGAGACCGGTGCGCAGTCTCTTCTGGTCGAGGTAGTGGGCAATGAGACCGATCGAGCGACCAAGGACGAAGAGACCGTTGAGGACACCCATCTTCATGTAGTCCTCGGTCTCCTCGGGGGAGAAGGCACCGCAGTGGCGCATGAGATCAACGAAGCAGACAGCAATGCAGCCGTCGACGTTGAGGATCAGGTTGTCCTTCTTGGAGGTGGTGACGCTCTCGACGGCGAGGGCGTAGTCGAGGAGCTTGGTGCTGGGGAAGTTCTTCTTGACGTACTCCTTGACCAGCTCGACACGGAGATCGGGGTTGTTGCGGGACTTGATGCGGTGACCAATACCGGGGACTAAAGGCAGTCAGTACATAATTCTGCAATGCACGAAACAATGGTTCACATACTCAGCTTGTTCTCCTTGCGCATGGTGTCGACGAAGTCACGGGGGCTCATGCCCTTGTCGAAGGCCTTGGTGAACTCCTCAGCAGCACCGTCCAGGGCACCACCGAAGCGGGAACCAATGGTCAGTAGACCAGAGACCAGGGCACTGATCAGGTCCTTACCAGCACGGGTGGTGATGATGGTGTTCATGGCACCAGAGACGGCAGGACCGTGATCAGCAGTAAGCATGAGAACCATCTCCAAGAACTTGCTGGCGTAGGCAGGCAGGCGGCGACGGAACCAAAGGAGGGACATGACACCACCGATACCAATGTCCTCCTTGAAGACATCGGAGATGGGCATACCAGCGTACAGGAGCTCCTGGCCACGGTCGTCGGAGATGGTGGAGATGAAAGCAGCGGGCTTACGGATGAGACCGAGCTCCTGAGCCCAGGAGTAGTCAATGGGGATCTTGGGGGGGACGGGCTCCTTCTGGGGCACAATGACGCCCTTCTGGACCTGCTCGTTGTAGACCTGGGCAAGAGTCTGGGGAAGCTCCTCGAAGGTCTCGGGGACGTGGATGCCGGCCTCACGCATGGCCTTGTTCTTGGCGACGGCGGTCTCCAGGTCGGAGTTGGCGGAAGCACCGGCGTGACCGAACTGAACCTCGGTCTTGAACATGCTGGCGCAGGTACCGATGGCCCAGGCGACAATGGGCTTGGTGATGGTGCCGTTCTTGACGGCCTCGATGACACGGTACTCCTCAACACCACCGACCTCACCAAGGAGGACGAGGATCTTGCACTCAGGCTCGGCCTGGTAACGGAGAAGGTGGTCGATGAAAGTGGTACCGGGGTAACGGTCACCACCAATGGCAACACCCTCGTAGACACCGTCGGTGTTCTGGGAGATGATGTTGTTCAACTCGTTGGACATACCACCGGACTTGGAGACGTAACCGACGGAACCCTTGCGGTAGAGCTTGGAGGCAACAATGTTGTCCATCATACCACCAGTGTTACCGATCTTGAAAGCACCGGGCTTGATACCACCGACGGTAGCAGGGCCGATGATGGTGATGCCCTTCTCCTTGGCAGTGACGAGGATCTCACGAGCACGCTACCACACGGTTAGTCTCAATGGCCCACATGATTCGGATTCAGCAAGTCGAACGTACTCTCTCGGGGACACCCTCAGCAATGATGGCAATGCTCTTGATCTGGGGGCACTCCATGAGCTCCATGGTAGAGCTGTAGACGGAACGGGAAGAAGCGAAGTTGACGACGGTGTCAACGTCGGGGTGCTTGGCCATGGCCTTGGAGACATCCTGGTAGACGGGGAGGAGAGTCTCGCTGGTACCCCAGTACATCTTGCTGACGAACTGGCCACCGAAAGTGTAGATGATACCGGCGACGGAGGGAGTGCTACGCTTGCAGATGAAGTCGAAGTCCAGCATACCCTGGACAGCCCGGGGCTGCATACCACTGTGGCCGTTGTCAATGACGAGCCACGGATGAACCATCAAGTGGGACTTACTATACGAAACATCTCGTCTTGTTGTGGAAGAGGGTGTGGTTGAGGGGAGAAAGCACACGGCTGGGGGGGTCGAAGCGGGTGATGTTGTCGTTGGCGGAGGCGCCGTTGGCAGTGTTGATCAAAGGAGCACCGTTAGGCATGATGGCTGATACTCTGCGAATTCGACTGTCCGTCAGCACTGTGGTATAGGTATAGCATAGTGGGTGAGATGGAACCAGATCGAGGGAGTCGAATAGACAGGCATTGGAGACAATGGAGGGGAGATGCTTACCTGTCAACAGAGCTTGGACTGATGGGGAAATAGAATTAAGGAAGAGGAAGGGATATTAATATGTAGGTATGAGTGGTATAGAGGAAGGAGGAGTAGGAGGAAGAGAAGTCACACCAAATGTCGCGACCTGACGGAGGAGGAGGATGAGGAGGGGAACAAAAGGGAAGGGAACAGGAAGAGAGTAATGCAATCAAGGAGATGGAGAAACGAGAATCGGCGAGAGAGATGAATGGACTGATGGGGAAGAGGCGGATGATGGGTGAAAAACAAAAAAAAATGCAAGTTTCTTAAAAAAATTAAAATAAAAAAAAATAAAGCGCAGGAGGAGGGGGACGATATCGGGAGCTTGATGGGATGGATGGGGGGGGAGTAAAGAATTATGGGGCACTGGTGTCGTAACTCCATTACTTACAATACCACTGGTGGTATGAATGGGGTGGAAAGTTGGTAACGTTCCGTACTGGAAGCCGGGTTCGAACCGTCACTCCGTCAACTCTGGCTCTTTCTGGCTCAAACAGCCGCCGCCGTTCAGTTGGGGAAACCCGAGTTGCGCAGCAATCCATGATACTAGGGTCATCCACTACTTGAATAGGTACTCGACAGATCCGGAATACTTCGAGAATGCGACTCTGTTATCATTGACTGCCGGGGTTGGAATGCGACAGAGCAATCATCACCACCATCATCATCATCATCTTCATCATCCTCCTCGGAGTCTTCTACGATAGGAACGGAGTACGGAGTTTATGGCATCAGGTGAATCCCTCTTTACTCTTTAGTCGTATCAACCGCGCCTTCATCAGGACTTCGACTTCCCGCAGTAATCCCGTCAGCAACAGCGACAAAGTACGGGGTTTCCAGTCAGTATCTGAAGTACTCGTGAATCTTCTATCCCGCGGGTTCGAAGCGAAACCCGCCAAAATCAATGATTGGAACATCGGATTGTCTCGACAGTGCACCGCCATCGAGAAATCGACCGATACCCATTCCGTCTTCCGAAACTCCCTTGGTTCATTTCGTTCATTTCAGGTGCTAGCATTATTGAGCTGGTAGCCTGGTTGGGGTTAGAGCGGAGTGGAGCCTGGGATCCGCAAACTGGAGGCCAGGGACATGGATGGGATGGGATGGGATGGGATGGGGTGGTCTGGTCCGATACGTAGACTACTACGGAGTATGCACGAGGCCTGTAAGTTGGCTGGGATCATTGCGTTTGTTTTGTCTCCCCTCACCGAAAGATTGAGCAAGCGGTATGAGGTGGAAGTAAAGGATTGGAGGATGGAGATTGAATCTGGAATCTGATCGCAAGAGGAGCTGCCCACTTGGCAGTGAGTAGTACATAGTAACTTAGTACTCGGGATGGTATGTACAGTGCACCGTTGAGTCCGATGGGTCGATCGTAGGTTTGCTATGATTGTTGTTGCTTGTGCAGTACTCCGTAACTTACGCAGTACTCCGTACTCCGTAATTGTCGGCTCTGCCCCTCATTTCCATCGTAGTCGGCAGTCTTTCCTTATCTTATCGGAGCCAGTGGCAGCCTCAGGTACCGACCGCGGGCGGACTTTTGAAGAAACTGGGGAAAAAGAAGCGTGGTCGTGAGAACCCAGGGAAATTGATTACATCATCGTACAGCATGTCATTCTCTCCATGTTTCTACGGAGGAGTATGTTTCGATGTTCTCTACGGAGTACCATTCTTGGGGAAATCATCTGGCCACCGTGCTGCAATTGCTTCCGGTTTCGTACGAGACCATGGCCAACAAATTGACCACGTACCCAACAAATTCTTTTGCATACCGGTAGGTAGTTTCTAAGGGGCGTGGTATTGAGGCTACAGCGTAGGGCAGATACTGCGGAACTAAAAGAACTAAAAGAACTAAAATACTCTCATACTCTGGATTGACCCTCCCGAGGATCCCCAACGCCCGCCAATCCAGGATGACAGGCTGGGTCTTCGCCCGGCCCGCTTTTTCTTACGGAGGCTCCACTGCATCTCAACAACTCCCACAACTCCCCTGGTATTCCTGGTATCGGCCACAATAGCCTCTGGTATCACCGTGTTTTGGTCATTTAAATCCGTTTCAGACGATCATTCCATGCACTGATCCATCCCAATTCCTACTCTGGCGGCGGCCAGTCCAGAAAAAATTATTCCACCTGCTCCTTTCATCGGACACTGCATACTCAGTATCATCACCGAGTCGACTAATCGGCGTCCGTCTCAGCTTCTTGTTCCGTTTGGTTCCTTTTTTTCTCATTTTCTCCCTCTCCCGACCTCTTTTTACTCTTCCTCTTTTGCCCACTTGACCCTCCCCTCCCCCCCCTCCCCCCCTCCTCCTACTCTCTACTCAACCCACCCCTCCTCCCTCCGATCTATTTCCAGTGACATCTCGCATCTGGTAATAATTCCTCTACCAACCTACGAAAAATATCTCTGGTCTTCCTCTCTTCCTCCTCTTCCACTTGACTCTTCGTCCTACTCTCCCAATTATCAGGTATATTCTTAATCCGGGGTTGACTTCCCATATACACCCTCTATATCCTCCATTGTTGTTGTTGTTGTTCTCCGCCTCTTACACATACTTCAGTTTTTTTAATTCTATCCTCCCTCTCCTCCTCTTACGATCATCATGTCCGCCAAATCGATTCTCGAGGCTGATGGCAAGGCCATCCTCAACTACCACCTCACTCGTGCCCCCGTCATCAAGCCGACTCCTCTCCCTCCTTCCTCCACGCACAACCCTCCTCCCAAGCTCGCCTCCCTCTACTTCCCCGAAGATGAGTCCGTCAAGGATGTTCTCGACCAGGCTGAGGTCCTCTACCCGTGGCTGTTGACCCCCGGCTCCAAGTTCGTGGCCAAACCCGATCAATTGATCAAGAGACGTGGAAAGAGCGGCCTGTTGGCCCTGAACAAGACCTGGGCTGAGGCTCGGGAGTGGATTGAGGCTCGCGCTGGCAAGGAGATCCAGGTCGAGACCGTGGCCGGCTACCTCCGTCAGTTCCTGGTTGAGCCTTTCGTGCCTCACCCCCAGGAGACTGAGTACTACATCAACATCCACTCCGTGCGTGAGGTAAGGAAAATCGCAATCCACTTGCCACTTTCCGCTCGAATGCTAATTCAGAACAGGGTGACTGGATCCTCTTCACTCACGAGGGTGGTGTCGATGTCGGTGATGTCGATGCTAAGGCTGAGAAGCTCCTCATCCCCGTCAACCTCAAGAACTACCCCTCCAACGAGGAGATCGCTGCTACTCTCCTGAGCAAGGTCCCCAAGGGTGTCCACAACGTCCTCGTTGACTTCATCTCCCGCCTCTACGCCGTCTACGTGGACTGCCAGTTCACCTACCTCGAGATCAACCCTCTGGTTGTCATCCCCAACGCGGATGCCACCTCCGCTGAAGTCCACTTCCTCGATCTGGCTGCCAAGCTCGACCAGACCGCTGAGTTCGAGTGCGGTACCAAGTGGGCCATTGCCCGCAGCCCCGCCAACCTGGGCATGCCCGTCATCAAGAGCGAGAAGGTCAACGTCGATGCTGGCCCTCCCATGGAGTTCCCCGCTCCTTTCGGTCGTGAGCTGAGCAAGGAGGAGAAGTTCATCTCCGAGATGGACGCCAAGACCGGTGCCTCCCTTAAGCTGACCGTCCTCAACGCCAACGGCCGTGTCTGGACCCTGGTTGCTGGTGGTGGTGCCTCCGTTGTGTACGCCGATGCCATTGCCTCTGCTGGCTTCGTCAGCGAGTTGGCCAACTACGGTGAGTACTCCGGTGCTCCCACCGAGACTCAGACCTTCAACTACGCCCGCACCATCCTCGACCTGATGCTGCGTGCCCCCACCCACCCCGAGGGCAAGGTCCTCTTCATCGGTGGTGGTATTGCCAACTTCACCAACGTTGCCTCGACCTTCAAGGGTGTCATCCGCGCTCTCCGCGAGGTTGCCCCGGTCCTCAACGAGCACAAGGTCCAGATCTGGGTTCGTCGTGCCGGTCCCAACTACCAGGAGGGTCTCAAGAACATCAAGGCCGTTGGTGAGGAGCTTGGCCTCAACATGCACGTCTACGGCCCCGAGATGCACGTCAGTGGTATCGTGCCCCTTGCCCTTCTCGGCAAGAAGTCCGACATCAAGGAGTTCGGTTCCGCGTAAGAGGAAAAGGAGGGTCTTTTCTGCTGATTCCCCTTTCTATTTTTTAATTTAATCTTCCTATGAGATTCTATTTTCTGAATGCATGGCATGATACGGTTGTTTTACGTCATTCTGTTATTTTACTCCTTTTTTTTTATCTTTTCTTGACGGCACACACACATGGATTCCCCGGCTTTGCTTTGATTTCAAGTGCAAGGGAAAGACGGGACTTGATCCGTTCTGGAGTTGAAACACTGCTTAGACTTGTGATAGTCGTGAATACAACGATACGATCTGTTGTCTTGGTCTGTAGGCCTGTAGGCCAGATAAATGCTTTGGCTGGTATCCGCGATTAGAGCCATCCCCGCATGAACTAGGGGAGATAGTAGATTCGAAAGGGGAAAAGACAGCAAGGCAGCGCAGCCGACCCACGCATGCAAGGATGACTTGTCAACCCTCCAACCGATGAAGTAGACAGGAGAAACCAGCCGATGCAAAAACGCTGCTGCTGCTGCTGCTGCAATATGTGTTGTACGTCTAGCCCTCCAATCCAACAATCGCGCAAAGCAAGTTCCCCTTGTATTTATTTCCTCTACATGCGGTGTGGTGTGTCTTTACATTTGTCCCCTGTGTTTATTTTTCCCGACATGCGGTGTGCACAATCCACATCCACATAGTACAGCACAGAGGACACAAAGAACACATTAGACACATGTGCAGCGCAGCGCAGCGCAGCACAGCAACGCATGTGTGTGCTGTACAGTACGTCCAGCTCCCCCTCACCAAGCATCCAACCAACCAACTAACCAATAACCGACTAAGTTACCAAACCCATGGCAATGCCCAGTTCAAACCGAAAGTATAGTAGAGTGTAAGTTAGTGTGAGGTGGAACAGCTATAACGTACAAGCAATACCATGTGCCGGTGTCTGAGTATGGTGTCTGTGTCCGTGTACGGTAAGTTAAGTGAAGTCCAATACGAAACCCGTATGTAACGCCCCAAACAGACGTCCAAATAAACTACACCTCCCCTCTCGTGCCACAAGATAAGATCCGAATTCTTCTCAGATCCACATGGGTAGGAGATCTGTTCTGCAAAGATCAAGATTAAGATCAAGATCAAGATAAAGGGGAGGGGGAAAAGATTTTCGGGCAGGGGTGGATGGTGCGGTGGGAAACGAGGAGGAGGTTCCGTACGTCCGAGGCGGGAGGCGGATGGATGGAAGCCCAGGGCTTACTTAGGTAGTAGGTAAGTATCTTGGGGAACGGCCGGGGGGGAAAGGGTGGTTTTGTTTGGTTTGCATTTGGGTTGCGTATATATACTGGCACTAACTGGGCTGGGAGATGTACTGTTGGTGGATGTCTGGGGTTTTGTGGGAATTGCGGTGGTTAACTTACTGATGTTATCAGGTAGAGGGTTGGGTTCTGGTTGTACCGTACTCCGTAGTGGGTTTGGAAAGGTAAAACTAATTTACATACCTCTTGTCTGTGCTTGTGCTTCGGCTATTGCTGTTGACGTTGACGAAACAGGATGAGGATGCGAAGCTGCTGCTGCTTCTCTTCGTCTTTCCTTTTGGGTAAATAGTTATGTGTTGAATCTTAATGAATCCTTTCTTGCACGCTCGTATGTTGTTGTTGTAAACACATCCGTTGCCGTCTATATATCTTCCACAGAGTACTCCGTATGCAAGTTGAATAGGAAATAAACAACCTACAACCCCTCTGACCCCTTCTCCTACCTCCTCAACCAAACGCTTATTCGAATACTTGTAGTCAAGATACGAAACTGCCACATCCTTGAGAATTTATCATACTTCCTTGAGCAGCACAGCCTCATAGTGACACCACTATACTTCATGCATGTCTTGACCTGAAAATGTAGAACCGATCAACACCCATCCTTCCATCGGCCGCAACGACCAAGCCTTGGAGAACAGGGAGCAGACACCTCCATAGCGACAGTGTCATCTCAAGATAATCTGGTCATCTGCTCTAATTAAGTACATGTGCTGACTCGAACCAGTCTGGACTGACACGTAAGGAGCTATACCACCGAGTCCGTCCTCGTGACCTCCAATGCGGACGACTTCGTCCTAGCAATACACCAGGATTTATTGGCTGATGACATAGACTCCAGTGTTGCTGTTGCACAGCCGCAGTCTGAACTCGTTCTCATACTATAGACCTTGACAGGACGTGTTGCATAAATGTCATGTTCGTGAAGTCCTTACTGCCGAGCCGGGTTCCTACATGTCGGATACCTATGTTTCACACAGGAGTGGCGGTTGGTCTCTGGATATCCGGGACGGGAAACATGAACGTGAGATTGTGCATGACATGCCTTCCTCCACAGGCATGCTGTAGCATCTCATGAAGGCTACTGCGATACCTGCCGGCGACGAGTGATTGATCTAGTGCCCCGACTAAGACGGGTCTGATGCTAGGAGCTACGACACCAACAAGACGCCCCAAGAAAACAAAACCGGATGTTCACAAGAGAGGAGATTATCATATCGTATTACATACTCTCATCGCGACAAACACCCCCAGACACGACGAGAGCAAAGTAGTTGACAGGCGACAAAAGTACATCGTGTGGTATGCAAAAACAGTCATTTCACGCTTTCGGCAATAAATGCGCAGCAGAACAGGTGATAGGACCCAACGCTAACACTAGGGAAAGCTCTCTGTAGCGCGTTATCGGGCCTTTTTAATGGGGAGAGTTTTTTTCGAATGAGGAAGCTCTGAATGGCTGAGGCTCATGATTTTGCGGAAAAAGGGAGGTATAATACACGTTATAGGCGGCTTCGAACATCCGGAAAAATAGAAGACAACAAGACGTTGGACATTATTTGGCTAGTCCAATTTACTCGTTGATCTTGGCGAGGATCCTAGAGTAGTCATACGGTCAGAATCCAGGTTGGCAGCAGTTGATGAATGAAGGGATGTACGTACTCAGAGTCGCGGTAGAGGGTGTACTCCTCCTCACCAACCTTGATGGGGCTACCACCGAACTATACCAGAATTCTTGTTAGTCATGTCCGGAAAAGCGCTGGAGCTGCCAAAAACAAAACGAGGCTCCTTCTGCCAAACTAGGGCGATGTCCGAAACGTACCTGGGGGATGAGGACACGGTCGCCGACAGCAACACCCATGGGGATGCGCTGGCCGTTACGGTCGACGGCACCGGGGCCAACGGCGAGGACCTTGGCCTCGTTCTGCTCCTTGACGCTGCTCTCGGGGAGGAAGATACCGGAGGCGGTCTTGGCCTCGGGCTTGACACGCTGGACCAGGACGCGGTCCAGGAGGGGAGCAAGGTTCTTGACGTTGCGGAGGAAAGACTGTATAGAGAGATAACATATTAGTAACAGGTTCAAGAGTTTAAGCTCGATGGTGGTGATGCTCAGAGGAATTGGCGATCCGATGGAAACAGGTGGAAAAGTTCAATCGGAGCTCCAAGCAACAAAGATGGAGGGAGATAACCTACCATTGTGATGGTGATGTGAATGAGGGTGCTGAGCACAAGAGGCAGCGAGCAAATCAAAGAGGAGTGATTAAGGATGAAAGTGAGTCAAGGCGTGGGGAGCAAAAGAAGAAGAAGAGGAAGCGGCCGGCCGGGGAAACGAAGATCTGATCTGGAGTCGCGAGAAATTTCCAGAATGCCAAGACCAACAAGCTTCCATCCTCTCTTGCTTTCTGCCGAGGGACTCACCACCACGACTTTTCCTACGAGCTGTTCTTTTGTTTTCCTGAACATTGAAAGACAGAATATTGCACATTGTCTCGTGTGGACAGCCATATACTTGACAGCCACCCGGTATACCTACAATTACCCCAGCATCTCCAGTCTGGCACATCATTACCCGCTCGCTCCCTTTCCCGAGCCGGCCAGACCGACTCCGGACCTGTCAAACCTTCTCGGTTCTTCTTAATTAATGGATTGCATATACCTTGGGAATTTTCTAACTCCATCCTACCATCCAACCATCCAAAATGCCACCCCCTCCCCCACATAGCCGTTATTGTAACAAGGTGACTAATACTTTGATGAAACCTAACTCTAACTACCATCTTCTGCCCCGTCCACGGCCACCTCCTCCGAAACCTCCTCCGTAACCCATCTGCTGTTGACCACCACCTTGACCCCCAAATCCAGGTTGACCCTGTTGTCCGCCGCCTGCGCCGGATTGCCCGCCCATGAGCGCCTGAGCATGTTGCATGAACGTCATGGGATCCATCGAGGCGGGATCCAGGCCTTGGGCCATCATGCTCGTGAGGATCCCCTGCATCATCTCCGGCGACATGTCCGGCATACCGGGCATACCGGGCATCGGAGGGGCCGCGCTGCTTGGAGGCACGCCTGGCCCCGGTGGACCACCGCCCATCGGCGGCATGCCCATCCCCAGGAAAGCCTGCATGTCGTCCAATTGTCTCTTCTGGTCCCCGATATCCTTGCGCAGCTCCTGCTGTTTCAACACGTAACTGGCCCATGTGAACTCATCAAACCCGTAGTTGAAGTAGTCTGTGATATCGGACCCCGGTCGCCGCCACGGCTTGTCGTCTTCCGGAAAGTCCGCATCCATGTCAGTCAGTAGGATGGGCTTGCCCGTCGTCGGGTGGACGGGGTTGGCATGAACGTCGATCGTGGACACTTGGACTGGAGGATATGAAGAGCCCGGCCTTTGCGGTGCAGCCGGTACAGCGGGTCTTGCGCTGACGGGTACAGGCGTGGCGGATTCAGCTTTGGGCGTGGCGAGAGTGGGGGTGGAGGGTTTCGGAGCAGGAGGAGACTCTGCGGACGAGGGGCGTTGCGATTCTGCGCGTAGATTGGCATGACGAGGATGTGGGCTGTTCGAGGGTTAGCCAGGCTGTAGGAGCTATTCCCGGAGCTCGACTCACGCTTCCGGAGGTGGCGCATCGGCGGGCGCTTCGGTAATGATGTTGAAGTCATCCTAGAGCTTGAGTTAGACGGCCAAAATGTAGGTGCAGTGGTTTCGTAACCATACATCATCTTCATCCACCTCTATCTCTTCTTCCTCATATTCCTCTCCATAGTTATCCGCAGGAGGATTCTGGGCACCATTCTGATGCTGAGGAGCCGGCACCGTGTCGGCGGGATCGTAGAAATCGTCGTCTTCGTCGTCCATCATCTTGAAGAGCTGCAGGAGGTATGGAGTGAACGGATGTAACGAGGCGTAGCGGAAATGCGATCCTGTTTACGGCGATCCTGCGGAGATCGCACGGGCGGCGGGTTTGGCCTGTTTGCTCTGGCTTTGTTCGCTCGCGACGAGCTGCCAACCTTCAACGTCAATGAAAGAACCCCTCCCCTGGTCAAGTGATTCCGAGGTCAAAGAAAAGAAGCTATCGGAAGCTTGTTGTCTTGGTCCAGGTCTTACTGTGCCATTGACATTGTTGGCTTACGAGCATCAATTCGGCCACCCCAATCCGGAAACTCTCCAAATCACGTGCCGGTACGTCAGTCGTTTGCATGTGAGGAAGAACGACAAGCCACTTACACTCCATTCTAGATAGAACCCCAGAACATCCCGACAATATGTCGAACTCAGAACAGCCCAGCCATAGCTCGACTCCGAGGTCCTTCACAAGCCAGACCGTCTCTGCCGAAGACTTACTCAAGTCGCAGACGGTTGGTCTGGTGCACCTCTCCGATTTCCGCAAACGCCGCGCAGAGGTCCTCGAGCAAAAGGAACGAGAGGCCCATGATAAGTCGCTTGGGAGAAGCTCAGCCGGTATTTCGAGAAGTGCCACTCCTTCCACGGGCGACATCACTGACGGGTAAGTCAAGGCTTGACAGTATTCCGTTGCTGCCCTACGATGCTGATCGCAAAGCAATAGCAGCTCGACTCCCCGAAGCGACGCCCCTCCCAAGAAGAAAAAGAAGAAGCCGCTCGTGAAGAGCAAGCTCTCATTCCACAACGACGAGGAGGAAGAGGAAGAGGTCGACAGCGCTGCCGGTACCCCACGCGATTCCAGCGTTCCACGGTCCGCCTCGAGGACTCCAGTCGACGACGGCTCTGCGCCACCATCACGGCGCATCACGCCCAACCCCAATGCTCCTCCTCCACCGAAGGCGATGACAAAAGCGGCCTTGAAGGCCGAGGCCGAGGCGCGGGATGCTCTCCGCCGGGAGTTCCTGGCTATGCAGGAAGCCGTGAAGAACACCGAGATATTGATCCCTTTTATCTTCTACGATGGAACGAATATACCCGCTGGGACAGTTAAGGTCAAGAAGGGCGATCCTGTATGGCTGTTTCTCGACAGATGCCGGAAGGTTGGAGCCGAGCTTGGTGTCAGTGGCAACAGCCAAGCATCCAAAGCGCGCAAAGACAACCGGCGCGAGTGGGCTAGAATCAGTGTCGATGACTTGATGCTGGTCAAGGGCGAGGTTATTGTCCCACATGTGAGTACTTGCCATAACCTGAGTTGATATGGGACACCGGCTGATGGATGCAGCACTACGAGCTATACTATTTTATTGCCAACAGTGTCCCCAGCTACACGAGCGCCGGTGGCCTGTTGTTCGACTATTCTAACAAGCCGCCGCCGGCTTCCCGATCTGACGATCCTCTCGCCAAGCCGAATAGCGACCAGCTGGAAGGAGCCGATAAGGATCCCACCCTGACGAAGGTGGTCGATAGACGCTGGTATGAGCGCAACAAGCACATTTTCCCTGCGAGCTTGTGGCGGGAATACGAACCTGGGCCCGAGTTTGAGGAGAAGATGCGGACGACAAGGCGCGATGCGTCCGGAAATACGTTCTTCTTCTAGAGTGCTGGCGCAGGGAAGACTGTAGACTTATAGGGGATGCGCTAGAGAGCGAGAAATGTTATGTATGCTAAGATACCCGTGTAAACCCTTTGGCAGTATATAGTCGAAGTTGAGATATTTACCATTTTTGACACTTTTGTGGCTGTTCCATACTGCGTGCATTCGAATGCCTTCCTGATCTAGCTTTCGCGCAGCTTCATACAACCACTCTCACCCTTTTTCAATCTACACGACCTAGGGAACTAGAGAATTGTCAACAATGGATTTCTACCTTCGATGCAATTCCCTCAAATGTCGAGCCCAGCTGAAAGAGAGAGCAGTCGTCACGACCTGCTCGTAAGTCCAACAGCAGTTTCAACTTCCACCAGTCTCCGTCACTGACCCTTTCGGAGACACATCTTCTGTCTCCAATGTGCCAGCAATCTAGGTCTTTCACATGCAACGTCAGTCGACCGTCGTTGCCCAGCCTGCCAAACCATCCTCGTGAATCCAGACGACGCGGTCGCCACCATCCTCAACCCATCCGAAGACTACAAGACGAGCGTGCTCAGCGGACTGGACCCGAACACGATCATGGAATGCGCCGGCCGGGCCCTGCTGTTCTGGACGTACCAGACCACCCAGGAAGTGTGCGTGTTCTTCCTCGCCCCAGCACGTAAGAACCTCCTCGAGACCCCATCACTAATAGACCACTCTTCCAGCTTCTACCAAGAGTTCCTCGGAAAGACCCTCACGGAGAAATACACCAACCTCAACACCCAGATGGACAAGGTCATCCACAACGCCAACTCGGAGATCTCTGCCTTACAAGCACGAATATCAGGTGAGCCACTCCCAATTTCAATTCCAAGCCACCACCTTGCCCTTCAGCTCCCAAGCACCCAAGCCCTCAGCACCCTCCAAAACCAAAACCAGATACCAACACCTCACCCTTGGCAACCAGACATGCAAACGACGCAAGAGCAACTCCGCAAAAAGAATCAAGAGCTCGTCGACATGTACCGCGAGAAATGCACCCGCTTCACGCAGATCACCAACCTGTACAACTTGTTGAAATCGCGCGCCATGAAGTCGCAGATGCAGACCGCGGCGACGGACTCGGTCCATCAGACCTTGAACTCGCTGCCGCTGCCTCTTCCTCCCCTGGCGCAGTCACAGTCACACCAGAGTAACGTGCCGCCACCGTCGCCGTTTATCGCTACCGCTACCGCTACCGCTTCTGGTGCTGGTGCAGGTGCAGGTGCAGGTGCAGGTGCAGCGGGTCTCCCAATGCACATGCACATGCCCACGCACACGCACACGACACTTGGAGCCTCGATGCCCCCGCAGACGCCCCTGCACCGGTACCCGGTCGACCGCGAGGGCGTGGAACAGCTGCATCGCCACCAACGCAGCGGAACGGGGAGCTCGAAGGGGGCGGCGACGCAGCAGCAGAACCAGAAGCAGAAACAGAAACAGAGAGCGGATGCGGTGGCCATGCCTCCTCCGCTGCCGCCGGGGCGGTTACTGGGGGATCCGCGACATCGTACGGTCATGCCGAGATCCCACTTCTCCCGAGAAAGAAGATACTGATGTTGAGATTTCCAGGCGAGACGAGCACCCAGCACCGCACCCGGCTAGGTGGTGGAAGTGGAGGCGGGGGCTCCAGCACGCGCCCAACGACCGGATCCTCGACGCTCCCGCACGACAGCGTGCTGCTCGCGCGGTTCGGAGCCGACGGCGGACCGAATAATCCTTTTCTTGTCGGTGGCCCTACAGCCAGGGACAGGGACAGGGACAGGGACGGGGACTTACTGTCCAGAGCCGACGGAGGACACCTGCGCCATGCCGGCTATCCCGGGGAGCCTCCGGACGTGAGGCCATACTTCGACAGTACGGGGCTGTAGCCCTACACTTGCATTACAGGAGCCTCCTCTTGGAGAATCGGTAGCGTAGCTAAGTAAGGGGTGATGGGAGGTTGAAACAAGGTTTGGTGTGGTGGGACCAGGTTTTCCTGGGTTGTCTATTATTTATTGCAAGTTGCTTTGGTGTGTGTTACGCATGCAGGCTGATTTAGAACTTACGTCCGGCGTATCGGAGGAAAGAAAGGGAGGCGGACACTGTGCTTGTGTATATATGTACCTTGCTAATTATAAGGATGAGCTTGTTACTCGGGGACCGTGAGCAAGGAATAAGTATACATGGTACACTCGAGGAAAAAGCGGGGCTGAACTGGGGTTCTCTGATCTGTAAAGCTGATGATTGTACTGTACTGGACGCATTCAACGGTTGTGTCTGTCCCGTGACTCGTAACTTGATACAGTGACAGATCATCACAGTGGCCCATGGTTCAGAGTCATTGGCGGCTCTCAAGGTCTCTTTCTTTGATATTATGCTTTAATTAGAGGTTTGAGATTGTGCAATTATATAAGTCAAGACGAGACACTATGAAGTAGATAAAGGACAGGTGTCTGACGAACGTAAGCAGCATATCAAGTTTGGCATTTGCCTGCAATGGCAGAAATCCACTTTACAATAGTGTCAGGACATGCTGGGATCAACAATGGCTGAACGTTAGAGAAGCCCGAAAGAGAGTCACAGAAAGCGATGAAAGATGTCACAGATCTCAGGATGTTCTTGTGTAGCAAAAGATCTCCAGTAGAGCTGTATGCTGGGTTGCTGTGGCATATGAGAACATACACGATCTCGTACGTCTTTGCAAGCAAGAAGACCCTTTCGCGAAGAGGCGAGTTGATGTTGCCGCTACTGTCTGGTATGTTAGATCTATGTCCTGGTAAGAACAGCTGCGTGGTGGCTTGGGTGTTCGTTAGCATAAGTGCTGTTGTGGCAGCTATAGTTATGTCGGCGTGTTCGAAAGAGTGTCCAGCTCTCGACGCAGTGGCTGATGTATCATCTTCAGGATCAATATAGTCTATTGAGTTGACAAGATCGCTCGCTTCGAGGTGACGCACAACGTCTGGGTGACTTCTGAGAAGCCGGGTTGATAGCGTCAATCTCAAGCCACCCGAGAGATTTTGTGGAGCAAGAGGGACTTGCTGAGCGAGATCCAAGGAAATGGACGCCTTTTCCTCGGGCAGTCGAGTGACTGGTGCTCTTTCCCCAACCTTTGCTTTGAGAGCTGGCGAGCCGATTTTGGGAATTTGCGTAACGGACTTTCTCGTATTCAGTCCCCTGACCTGCATAAACGAGACCAAGGAGCCTAGGTTCGAGGAGGTCACTAAAGGCAGAGTCTCACGTCTCTTATTGCCTGAAGACAGCTTATTCTGTCTTCCCATTGGAGATCTCCTTTTCGAGGGCGTTCCACCATGACTGGATTTACGCTTTTGTGGTAGACATGAGCTCTTGCGGAGCGATGTGTGGGCGGAAGGAGTTTCGACATCACGCATGGGTATGTAGTCACTGTGTATCTCATGGTGCTCCGATAAATTCTCTGGCATTTTTGTGACCTCTATCCTCATATGATCGCTTCTTTCCCTCGCACAGATAGGGCTTTTCGCCAACGCAATAGCCCCTTCCACCGCGGTCGACATAGACTGCTCCTTAGTTGTCGAACCTAGCCCCTGCGAGTTCGACTGCACTTGTCGCATATGATTGCAGTCTGTACGCGTATTCTGGGGTTGGACTCTGAGCTCTTGAGCAATCACGTCGCTAGCTGGAGGAGTATTGATGGGATAGACCTTTTCTTTATAAGGGAGGCAGTCAGATGTAGCAATGTTATCAGTTATCTCAGTATACGTCACTTGAGAGATGCCATGGGTGGACTCCCCATCGCTTGTCGAGAGCTGACTGGCATAGGAAGAGAGTTCGCGGTCCTGCAGTGACTTATGTTGAGTCACCACACAGTCAGACAAATCGATATCATCCTCAATAGGTGGTGAGGTGTGAGACTGGTGCGAGTGTGGTTGATCAGATTCCTTTCGCACATTCGGGGTTCTATCTAGCAGGTTATGTGTTGAATCGTTGACCCTCGCATCCACGTTCCAAGGGTCCTCCGAGGCTCCGTCATCATTTTCTGCAGGTATGCTGAAGCTGAAATGACTCTCGTTAGCGGGAGGGAACGATTCCTCCCCATCAGAGAACTGGTCATCGTTGGCAGGGAGAAGGTCGGGGGAGTTCGAACGTGAACGTGAAGCTTGAACCTGTAGAAGTCAGCACGCAACAAATGCGAGCAAGACGAGAGACATAGACCCGCCTCCTTTAAGCCCAATTCATTCCACAATAAATCCTCGAGGTCCTCAAAGCGAAGATCAAAGCTCTTTCGAGCCTCCTGTATCATACGCAATGCACCCTTCGAACAGTCAAGCTTCTCCTCTCGGATGTTCTCACCGGAGGTGTCTATCCCATGTACCAAGCCCCTCGCTAAAACCACATCGCGATCGCTGATTTCGTCCTCCAATGGACTGAGATGGAAATCGTTGAGACCGTAACAGACAGGCCTTGCACAAACAGGTAGACCTTTTTCCTCATCATTGGTAAAGATTGGTGTCTCCACTTTCAGCTTATCGTAACGATCCCATGACGGCAGGATACTCTCCCAGTGACTTTCGATGTCGGTGGGTTCGGTCCTTCGAAGAGCGGATGCAAGGAAAAGTGCGCTTTCTTTCTTAAGGTCTAGCTTCTCATGATGGAGGCTTTGTTCGAGAGATGTGTGCACCTTGTCAAGGTGGTCTCGGAACTGGGAAAGGGAGTTTGAGAGAAGATCAGGAATTGCGACACAGCTCTCTTGTAGATGCTCGAGGGGATCCACGTCTGTATAGCTACTTGCTATTCCATGAAACCGGGCATACTCTAGCACTGCAGAGTTTATGGAAAGGGCCATGAGGATGAACAGTCAAAAGTCAATGGTAATGATTGAATTAGTTGGTATCAGTAGATGGTTGAGGAAGGAAGGAGGTGGTCCCTGGCCACGTGCCCCGCAAACGCTCATAGCAAATGACAAGAGCCCATGTAACGCTCCGGCTTCAATGACATGATAAACTCGCTGGATCCTGTGGATCAAGACGCTAGAACTGCAATGACCCCAGTCTTCCAAGTCTGCATAAAGAGCCCGCTCTTGCAGTCTTTGTCTGACAATAAAAAATAGCAATCGAAGTAACGCCAGATCTCCACAATATTCATAAATTGAAAGCACCTTCAATGATAACCTTCTTCAGTCGTTGTAGTTGGACTGACGGGATCCATCCTTGTTGACAGGAGGGAGGTTGTAACGAGCGATGTACTCCTCCTCCTGCGATTTCCCTGCTGGGTCCAACACCGGGCGCTCAGCATGGGATGCAACTCGGACCGCATGACGACGGTGAGGAGCAAACCCATAAGAGGCTGAATGATTCTGTCGAGATCGTTAGCAATTTGGTAGTTTCCAAGCCAGGGAAGCTGCTACTTACTGTTGTTCGGTTGTCCCAAATGGCCACGTCATTCTTGTTCCATTGGAAGCGAGCGTGCATCTCTTGTGTTGTTGCAATCACTTCGGTGAGATAGCGGATGATAGCATCACTTTCAGTCTTGGGGATCCCGACAATCTTCGTCACGAAGCCAGGGTTGAAGAAGAGACTGTTCCAACCGGTGACAGGGTTGGTCCTGATCAATGGATGCTCGGTTGTGACAGGCTCACGACGAACCGTTCGCCCAAGGGCTCTGGAGTCGGAAGCCTGCATTTCCGCAGAGTGAAGAGCTGTCAAGCCCTTGAGATATGTTTGCATATGAGATGAAAGTGCATCGTATGCTGCATATTGAGATGTCCAGAGGGTATCTCCACCGCCTCCCCGAGGGGGGCCAGTAAGAACCTTGAGGGATGTGTACGAGGGGGGTTGAACTTCATAGGTCACCTGTTACCAGTCAGTGGGCTGCGACTGATACGCAAAGGCAATGCATATCACATACATCTGAGTGCCACAGAAAGCTAGGCGTGAACATTGCCCGTTGGTCGGCAGCATTATCGCCTGCATAGACAACATGGATATCCTCCAATCCTTCCTTTCTAGGAACGGCTGTGGTGGCATGCTGGTAGTAATCATTAGATCGATGACCTTCTAGACATCATTAGAAATTGGCTTCATACCTTGTGCAATTTGCCGAAATGCCTGCCCAGGTCACGCTGGGCGTCAATATCCAGGTCATCCTGGTCACGGAAGAAGACCACGCCACGGACAGCAACCAAACGGGCGAGATCATCCTTCTGGGCGTCTGTCAATTTGGCAAGATTGACACCATGAACTTCCGTGCCAATCTTTGGAGTGTAGTCAAAAATATCTGTCGCATCCTGGAGAAGGTTCCGGAAATCGGGGTCTCCATGAAGCCCTCTGTCCTCATGAGGGATCTCTTCTAATGGTGCCCAGTGAAGGTCTGGAAAGGTCGGTAGCAAGTCTTGGTACGCATAATTTTCGTGGTTTTCCACAGTCGTCCTTCCCGGCTGGTAGCCGAATTTGTTGCCGGCGATGTCCTGCTTCTTGGTGATAGAGATGGATCTTAGATCCTGGGAGGGAAGAGGGTCCACCAACGAGGGCGCCATGTTTAAGGATAGAAAGAAAATGAACTCTATATCAGAAATGCAACCGAGAATTGAAGCATGTGTAGATGCACAAGGAGAAGATGATAGTATTGCAACGAGCTTATTATGAGATACAGGTAGAGCTCAGGACTTGTTGCTCATATATAGGCATGAGGCAGAGCAGCCTGGTTCCCCGACCTAATTGTCAGCAGACGTGCTGGGAGCCGTAAGACTCATCTCCAAACCGGGCTGATGTTACGGACAATGTATTGCACCATCGATGGGCAAAATCACCCAAGAGGCCAGGATAGCTAGTCATGAAGCAACCATGGGACGACGGGTTCCAGAAAACATTCCGAAGCCCCCGGGCGCCACAGATTCGGCGCCGATCGCGTCATCGCGACTGGAAACTGTGGGGAAGGACATCGACCCAGCTTGCGACTGGATAGATGGAATTGTCCGCCATCATACCTCACAAGTGAATCTGAGAGAGCAGATGGCAAGTACATGCGCTGCGTCGTCAATTGGCAGCGTCACACCGACATTTGGAGACGTGGACATGGTTTCATGTTGTGGTGGTGGTAGAAGCAGGAGCTGTTCTAGATTCAGGGGGGCGGCGTTCGGGGGTTCTTCCGCCTCGCAGATCATAGATCCTAGTGCTGGTGCTGGGGGTAGTCAACAGGCGACCATTTGGATGGGGTATCGAGATAAAGTGATGCAACCAATTCTCAGAACTCACAGTCGGTATCACAAGCTAGTGGAGAAGTAGTATCGTCGCATATGTCATGGTGACAACCCAGCAAAGCCGACTGATGCCGAGTGAGTAAACCCAGTCGGACTGATTGATAAGACGGGGAATGAGGCTAAGAAGGTGGATCCGGGGATGAGGTGCGATCACGCCAGTTTGCCGCCCTCTTGCGTTTTCCCCCTCACCGCCCGGCCTTAACTTCACCTCCGTCGGACCTCATCTTTTCGATATTGCTATTAATACTCCGTACTCCAGATAGCAATTTCCATTAGGCTTATACAGACCCCAGTTATTCTATGCAATACAGACCCCAATTATTCTTGATAAGACACGTAGTCTATTCTTTCCCTTCAGCCACCAGATCCTTCGAGTCCAGAGATCATCAATCTTGAATTTATATTGCATTCCATTATGATATGCCGGCGGCGCCCTTAGCCCTGTATTGCATCACACAAAGAACTCCTCATTAAAACCATGCTAACCCAAACAGACAAAAGTGCCATGATCCCTTGCTTTTCACCGTCGCCAAGAACATTATATTGTACAATGAGAAAAACAAAGACTCAGCGCCGACAGAGCAAGTACGTATCAAGTAGAACCCGTCCTTCAGAGGTTAAGCCTGCCATCAGCGGCCGAAGGAGGACCCAGGACAACTTCCTGCACCTGCTCGGTCACGCCGCCGAGGCGCCCGGCAACACCTAAGATACCAGCCTCCACGTCGCTAAGCACGGTAGCAAGATCGTTGACTATGGACTTGGGAGTTCCAGACGCCGGTCCATCACGACTCCGCGCCGCCACAAAGTCATGAATCTGTCGTTCCAGAGTAGACTCAACTCCGTGAAGGTGGTCCTCGATCTCCTTCAGACTTTGAGTGTAGCGCTCGAGCACAACTCCCATCTCATCCGAACGCTGGGAGAAGTAATCCACCAAGTTAACAGGTACCCCGTTCACGCTGGTGGCAGTGGCAGGATCGCTCTCAACATCATCGGGAAGGGCCAGAGTGTTCTTACGCGTCGAGCGAAGTGTCTGTGCATCGGTCTTCTGGTTCTGAGACGTCCACCAACCAGCTCCACCGGTAGACTGATATTGTAGGGGTAGTTTCAGGGTGTCGATGGCGCGGAATGCAACCTGGGCCTCGGCCGCATCGCGCGATACAAGATTGCGCAGCTGATCAATCTCCCTGGCATCGTTTTCCAGGGCATGTTGCATGGTCTCAAGCTTCCCTTGAACGAAGTCCACGTCGTGTGGTATGCTTTGTCCCTGTGTCTCGATTGTAGGAATCATGTTCGAGACTTCATTGCATAATTTGATCTGACCCAGCACGTAATTATCGAACCTCTCAAGCTCCGCCTTGATCTCATCCGCACAACTCTCATACTTGGTTGTGGGGAGGATGTTGCTGACGTCGATCTTGACGCCGGGAATTACGGTGGTGCCACCGAGCTGCGCGGGTTGTTGTGTAGTGGTGCTCTGGTTGCCAAACAGACCAAGTGTAGGTCTCTGAGCTTGAGTTTGCTGTGCATTGTTCTGAGTGGCGCCACCGCTATAATAGGCTTTCTGTTAGGATGCATCACCATTTTAGATTATGGAGAAGATAGGTAGATACTCACAATAGACCTCCTCCGGTGGTAGCAGTGTTGGCTGTAGTGCCGCCGAAGAGCGGCTTGGATTGAGCTTGAGTGGTCGCAGCACCGCCTAGACCACCAAACAACCCCCCGCCAGTAGTTCCAGTTTGCGCAGTGTTGGTAGTGCCCGCGGTTCCTCCAAAGAGTCCACCGGTTTGTGGCTGAGATGTGGTGGCTGTCGTGTTGCCAAATAAGCCGCCGCCGGTGGTGGCATTGTTCGTTTGCTGCTGGCCGCCAAACAGATTCGATCCGGACGGTTGCGATTGCTGTGTAGTGCCACCTCCCAAGTTCCCAAAGAGTCCCCCGGCTGGTTTTGGCTGCGCTGTATTGTTCGCTCCCAGGTTGCCGAAGAGGCCACCGGAAGTGCTCGTGGTTGCTGGTGTGGTCGCAGAGCTAGTTTGTGTGTTGGTGCCGCCGCCACTATTTGTGCAATTTTCGATTAGCTCATCTGAGTCAGGTTTCGCGACCATAGTGAAATGAATGATTGAAGCAACTAATTGTTCGAGTTGCAAATGTATTGGCGATCAGACGTAGGCAGGAACAACGCGCAGTTGGATGGAAGGTTCTTACAAGAGGTTGGATGAACCGGTGTTGAGGGACAGGCCTGTGCCAGTGCCTGCAGGCTTTGCGGAGAACATTGCGCACTGTGAGGGGGGCAGCAAAGACCGGACTGTCAAGTGCTCAAGCACAAATGATCCACAAACAAAGAAAAGGGCGCTTTGTACCTGCCAATCTGCGCCGCAATGGATGGGTAGTGATGGATTGGTGAGTGGAAAACAATCAAGTCAGCGATGGTTGCTCGGGAGCTAACCTCACTTCCGGCAAGTTTCTCCGTGGTCCCGTGACCCTGAAGTGCCCCAGCTCACCATTGGCTTATCGGAATCTGATAACCATATCACATCTGAAGGACCTCACTTTTACTATCTACCTAGTAGTCCGAGGTACTGACATTGATACATAGTACAAGCTTCAGGAATTGACTTTACTTCATAGCTTTGACTTTATCACTGCTTCAAGGCTCACTTGGGAAGGCCACCAGTCTCCACTAGCAATTCTACCACCCTTGTTCCAGCCAGGGAAACTGCATCCACCTATCCTCTTCCAGCGCGTCCTCCGTATGAAATACATCGCTGGAAGCGAGTATCTCCTTTCATCTTGTGCTATGATCCTCACAGACATTGGATCACTCAGCTCTTGAGACTGGAGTCATTGAGAATTGACGCCGCCTGTTTGGGCCCCAGCATGTGTCCTGCTTGATTATATCCTATCACGAACACATCCTAGCCCGGTCCCAGATAGGCTCCGAACTTCATATCAGGAAGATGGTTGAGTATGAGTCTACTACCTCACAGCCTCTTTGTGTGGCCATCTCAAGTAAGGCGGAAAATGAGGAGCAGAGTCCCCGAACGGAGACACGTACCTTCAGCCAGGAACAAGATGGCCGGAGAGAGAGGACGCCGCAAGCAGCTTCAAGGCTTTCTGACTTAGATATCATCAAAAGTGCCGAATGGTATGAAACGTTCTTTACCTTCCCCCTTGAGATCACGGCTAATGGAATCTCTCAGGTCCGCTGATGGAACTACGTTATTGACCGACTCGGCAGACCATCATATCAGGAGCTACATTTTGTCAGTATCTCGTGCCCCAAGAGTCTCAAACCCATGAATTGACAGTTCTTCTGTAGGCCACCAGACTTACTTGAAGAGAGACCATCACCTATCCACCTCTTACCCTATTCGACACTGGCCTCTGCTGAACCGACATACGCCATGGCCATGTACCCTTTTTTCTCCCTCCAAGACCCTTCCACCACCTTGTTTCTTTCCTCCGTGAGAGACCACCCAATAAGACTGGCATCTGCTTTGGCGCCAATGCAGATGGCGTCTTATTCGCTGGTCAATCCCATGACAGAGGCTTTCATTACACCCCACTCAATGATCTACCCACCTAGTTTAGGGGGCACCCAATTCCTCACTGGATCCGATAGCCTCATCTGCCTGTTCGATGTTTCGCGACCAGGAAATGACGGGCCTATCACAACGATGCCTACCATACCAAGTAAGCGCAAACAAGTGGTGGGCGGTGGTGTTGGCATGAAGGGCATCGTTTCTGCACTGGCCGTGGATCCAAGCGCACAAGGCATCTTGGCTGCAGGGACATTTACGCGACACGTCGGGCTCTATGACTCGCACGGAAGCGGGCAATCTCTGGGAACGTTCAGCATCGCGAAAACAGAGGCAGATCCTCACATAGGAGGGCGCGGGGTCACGCAACTCTTATGGAGTCCTTGTGGACGGTATCTTTATGTCGCTGAACGCAAAAGTGATGGCGTCCTGGTTTATGATATCCGAGTGACCGGCCAACTGCTTGGGTGGCTGCAAGGGCGCAAGGCTTTCACTAACCAACGCATGAAGATCGACGTGGTGGCCACGGGCCAAGGAGATTCGCATGAGATCTGGGCGGGAGGAACTGATGGCTGCATGCGAGTTTGGCAGAACCCCACGTATAATCCTGGAGCACAGGAACCGAAGTGGGAGTGGAAGGTTCATGATGGTGAGTCTGCGTTGCTGCTTGCCACAGCATGTTGCGCGATTTTCTGCTAACATCATGTAGAGTCAGTAAGCAGTACTGTGGTGCATCCTTTGGGCAATGTGGCTGCAACAACTTCAGGGCAAAGATACTTTGCGGACGAACCTGACGACAGCATTCTGCCTCCTAATCCGCGGACTGACAGGAGTCTGAAAGTCTGGTATATGCCGTTCTTGAACGATAGCAACAATGACGATTCAGTCACGAGTTGAGGCACTTAGATGAAAGGGAATCTCATCGAATTGAACCTTCGAACCCTAGGACTCGATGCCAACATCAGCCTATCTCGTCGGGGCACGGCTTCGGGACGAGTTGATGTGAGTATCAGACCGGAGGGATATAGGAGAAGTTCAGCATTAATTGGATATGAGAAGCATCTTCGAAGCTTCTGTAGCCTGGCCTTCACCAGAGGCTTCTAGGCTAGGCTCCGATAACTAAAGTTATCAACCTGGAGTTGTAGTTTGCCCATCCCGAACGCGCCGTGTCAGCCATTTGCAACACAAAAAACATTGGACTACGGCTCTACCATTATTACTGGCATGCAATCTCCCAAGAGATTGAAGTGGCCCGCATGAAGATTTCCTATCTCGTTGTTCCAACCGGTCTTTGGTGGCAGCCTTCGTGCTATAAGTGAATAGTGCTCTGCCAGGGAAGATAATTTCCATCAGCCATCACACCTGAAACCTCAAACATTGGGTGAATGTGTTGATAATTTAAAAATCCTCAAGGCCTGATATTCACTAACACACCCCAATTTTCTTTTTCAATTTCAGACTGACTATTTAATCCCCCCCCCTGTTCGTCCCCCTCATTCTCTCTTCCCTTCCTTCCACCCCTCTATCTTCATCTCTTTCACTTCCAACTTCCTCAAGATTATCATCCTTTCCAAGTACATAAAAGTACATAATCTTGAATTTGCATCTCTTCGCACATACCTTCTCTCGTTCTTCAATATCTCCTGCTTTCTTCGAGCGTGTGAACGCGTCTTCACACTCTCTCACATCTTCACAAAGTGAAACACATAACTTCACTATCTTACATATCCCCTTCTTTGTATCTTCAACATTCATCTCAAATCATTGAATTTCTCTCTTGAATACAAAAGAAAGGACGTTGCTCTAAGGAGCGTGACTTTCAAATGCTAGGATCAAAGATCCTCAAGCGCTGCAAGGCGCGTCTCAGTCTTGCCAGACAGCTCAGACAGCGTCGCAGTCTCACTAATAACAACGAAACTACAACACCCTCTGGATCCCCCGGACCGTCTCTTATGCAGTAAGTTCTTTACACCTCTTGGGAAAAGATCCATCCAGGCTAATACTACGCAGAGTCGATGGAGCTGGCGATCTTGATACCGAGCCCATCAACCTCGATAGTGACGATGATGACACAATCACCACACCCTCTCGAACTCTCGGAACAACCCCCCTGCAGTAAGTCTTCGACATATCTGGAAGAAGATCAAGTCAGGCTAACACTACGCAGGGCGGATGGACCTGACAATATTGCTATCGACCCTCTCAACCTTCATGGTGACAACAACACACCCTCTGGACCTTCTGGACTGTCTCTGCAGTAAGTCTTCGACATCTCTTAGAAAAGTATTCATTCAAGCTAACATCAAGCAGGGCGGATGGACCTAGCGATCTCGGTGTCAGCCCTTCGAACTTCAATGGTTCCGAAAGGGACTTCGACATATTCATCAATACAAGTCTTGAGAACGATGTGCCCAACACTGCGGGCGAATCTATGAATAAGAGGGAGTTTGATGAATTGATGTCTCTTATCCAAGGTAATGACTGGCTGCACCCAAATCTCATAGCGTGGCCGTTTACTAACGTCGTTCTCCTAGCCGATGTTGGATCTAATGGTGATGAAGCCAACACAAGCAGCCCAAACAACATTGAACGTACTGGAAGTGGGACGACCAGTACCGAAAGCGTTGAAACTGCTCAGCGCGTGCAGCCCAATGAGCCAGTTCCCAACCACTGGGGCAGCTCTGCTAGAATTGTTGACGTCACTGATGTCAGTAACCCCGAGGAATGGCCTGCTGATATGGATCCCAAGAACCCAGCGGTGGAATTCGGCACCCAGTCCTCATTAGAGCTGATCCACCCGAATTCCAACTACGAATTGCAGCAGGCTGTTGCCAGCGGCTCTTCACACAATGTGGGAGTCCACTACGGGCAGCAGAATCCTGGTAGTATGCTGTACACAAACTCTAATCTCTTCGGAGCTCCAGGTGTTTCTGCATTCGTAGATGGTAGCAATGTCGAGCACTTGCCCATCGGGACTTGGAATTCCGTGGCGTCGAACCCCTTCATGGCTGCGGCTAACCCAGCATCAGATGGGCAGTTGCAGCCCTTGACTCCTCCTCAGATGACTCCTCCTCAGACTCTTGGTCGCGCCCCGGACAACCCAATCCTCAGACAGGCAGTTGAAAACAACCGAAAGCGTAAGCATGAGGCGTCGAACGCTGTTGTCCCGAGGTATGCCACTCCCCCATAACATCAGACCAAGCAGAAATTAGTCAACGAGCTAACATCTCCATCCAGCAGTTCCAACACCGCAGCTAGTCACCCAGACATCGCTGCTGGAAGCTCAAGCTCCCTGGCTGATCGTCATGGTGAGCTTGAGCGGCCCGCGAAAAGATGCAAACTTAACAAGAAAGACTTGGAGGCGCTGAGGCCCAAACGCAAGAAGAAGAATGGAAAGGGGAAAGGTAAAGGGGGCCGAGGCGGCCGAGGCGGTCCAGGGTCAGAGTCGGAATCAGACACAACTCCTGAGCCGAAGCGCGTCAAGCTTCAGAAGGCCAACTTTTGGAACTCCTTGGATCCCAACTCCCGCGGAGTCCGTCCCGCAAACTTTCCGGACATTGACAGACTTCTCAACCCAACCAGCGACATACCGCAGGCCACCATCTACGATTCCGCGAGTGAGGCGCGTGCTGACCACAAGACCGATACCGACGTCGAGAAAGACGACGACACCATCCCCAAGACGCATGCCGCCAAGAAGGCTATCGTGGTGGCGTTGACCAATTTGATGATAGACAACTCTTGGGCACAAGACGGCAAGAGGTCTTTTGGCACTTGGGACAACGCCTTCCACCCCAGGCATGTGCTAGAAAAAGCCGCGTGGGAGCTACTGGTAAGACTTTCTTCGGGCAATGCCAGATCCTTTGTAATCTTGCTGACGGACCGACTCGCAGGAAGCACTGATCCGGCGTAATACACAGGGCCCAGATCTCCTCTATTATGAATTTTTGAAGTTCTCGCTTCCCCCCAGGTGGTTGACTTTCAAAGAAAGGCTTTCGAAGGTGATGGAGGCCATGATCTACCACAAGGCTGTGGTCAAGCACCTTCTTGATCCTCCGTATCTGCATACTCTCGTGGAGGACCCGTTTGGCAGCATTCACCGCGTTCGCGACAATAGATACCTGAACGGTAAGAAGGCCAAGTTGCTTAAGGTGGCGGCGGAGGCCAAGAAGAAGGAGCAAGAGGAGGCTCGTAGAGCTCAATCTTTGGCCCAGGCGCCCGTTGAAGAGGGACCCGCCTCCGGCTACGAAGAGTACTCCGCGGACGACGAAGAATCCGCAGATGAGTCCATTGACCTGGAGAGCCCGCCTACCTCGCCTCCTCTCGCGGCCGCGGGACCTTCTTCGAAGAAGGGAAATGCCTCCACCAAAGTCAACGGCAGCACTCCCAAGGCACCCGCGGCCAAGTCCGCTGTGCAGAATGTCATCCCAGGCACCTTTGTTCCGGCCGCAATGGGTCTTGACGATCTTGGAAACCTCATGGGAGAACCCTCTTATCCTGCTGGAGCCTACGCGGACGCGCAGCCCTTGTTCCCCATCGCGGACCCCAACCCACCCTTCCTGGCTACAGCCCCTACTGCGCACACTGCGATGCCCGGAGACCTCCAGGATCTCATGGACCCCTGGCTGGAAGATCTTGAATTCGTTCCTTTCGGGGCTCATCCCATCCACCCAGCCTACGTTGATCCCGGCAACATGGCACATGGCGGCAACATGGCACAGGGCAGCAACATGGCACAGGGCAGCAGCCTTCAGCCAAACGTTCAGAACTTGAACGGCCCCAACCAGGGCAACATGGCACCTCCTCCCCTGAGCAACATGCAGACCGTCGATCCTCGTATGATCATGGCGCAGAGCAGCCTCGTGCCGGCGGGCCGCACCATCCAACCCCCGCAGAACAACGTGCAGAGCAGCCTCGTGCCGGCGAGCCGCGCCATCCAACCCCGGCAGCACGGACAGATGCAGAAAGCCATGGGCCAAGACGTTGCTAATCCGAACATGTTCGACTCCGACAACAGCACGAATGCATTGGGTCCGCTCCCGGACTATATGCTCCCCCTCCCCTTGATCGATGTGCACAAAAGGAATGCTGGCCCTACGATAATCCCCAACCAACAGGGCTGCGTCGATTATCTGAACACAAGGGACGCTGGTTCCTTCGCATGGGTTGATCTTCCTAGGCCTACACGTGCTGTCCCTCAGAAGCCTGCCCCTCCGTCTCGTGCCGCTCTCGGTGAGCTTGCCCCATCTGAGATTACTAGGGTGCAGGGTGTCTTTGATGATATGAACAAAAAGAAGCACAAGCGCAAGCAGGCGGACGCTGGCATTCAGGATGATATTCAGCCGTGCAAGCGCAAGCCATAGCTTACTGCTTCCATATGGTACACTAACGTACATACAATCCAGTACATCTTGGTGCTTGGATTTCGGTCTTTTCTTTTTGTCATCTTTGCTTTTCGGCTTGTGGTTTTGAGGACTTACGCTTTTGAGATTGTGGTTCAGGTTTCGGTTTTGAGATTGCGGTTCAGGTTTCTGCTTCTGAGATTGTGGTTCAGGTTTCGCGGTTGTGGTTTTGATCTTTGGTTTCGTTGCTTGCTTTTCGGTTTCGCTGCTCGCTATTCAGTCTCTGCTTCTTGCGTTGCTTTCTTGCTTTTCTCAGGTTTCAGGTGTTTCGTTGCTTGCTATTCAGTTTCTGCTTGCTTGCTTTTTTGCTTTTCTCGGGTTCTAGGAGTTTGGTGGTTATGCGTTGCGCTTTGTTGTTTTGCTTCTTTGCTTTTGTAAACAGGCAGGCCTGTTCGTCCCATGGTGTATGGGAGAGTCTTGAACCGTGGGAGCTGCAAGTTTGGCTCAAGACTACCCATCCACCATGGGACGGACGGACCTTCTTGAGAACGAGGAATGATAGGTGCTCCGTTTGAATGTGATTTTTACTCTATTTTTATCTTTTGTGTCTTGGACACAAACCCGCGACGATGCCCAGATTGTAAAGGTTTCCTGAATACAAGAACGATCGCTACGAGAATGGCGTCAAGGGGTTTGTGTGTATGATGCAAGGCCCATCGGCAGCGATGTACAGATGACAAGGCTTTCCGGTACGAAAGTACGGGTTTCTTTTTTTTTTTTTTTTTGCGCTCGTGTTTTCCTTCCTGCTCCCAAATTGAAATTGCAGAGACTTCTTTTGTTATTATTTTTTTCGTTTTTGATGCAGTTATTTTTTAATGCAAAGCCGATAAACCCCACTCCGCGCAGCCGCGTAGATCTGGCCCTGGCCCTGGCCCTGGTTCTAGCTCTTCAGCTAAGATTTGACCAGAATCCGGCTCGTTAGAACAACACCGAGGAATCTACTGAGTAGCACCAGCCCCAGGAGCAGAAGCAGGCACGATCCCAAACCGCTCGTAGGGAAAATCCTCCAGCGAGGACAGCAAGACGCCCCACCCATCGCCCAACTTCCCCGGCGTGCCATTCCCATTATCCTGGCGCTGGCCCTCGCGCTCCGCGACCAACTCCTCGGCCTCCTTCTCGGCCTCCCCCTTCTCCTCCTCCTTATGCTCCCCGGTCAACCCCGCCAACACCTCCTCCTCGCGCCCGGCATACGCCTCCCGCAGCCCCGGATGCGGCACCCAAACCACCTGCATCCCCGCGCGCCGGCCCGCCTCGACGCCGGGCACCGCATCCTCGAACACCAAACACTCGGCGGGCGTGATCTCCCTCTCCCCGCGGGCCCGCAACCCGGCATTGATCGTCTCCAGCGCGAGCAGATAGATATCCGGCAGGGGCTTCCCGCGCCCCCGCCCGATGCGCGGATCATCGCCCAGGACGCGCTGGTGCTCCGGGAAGGCGGCGAACAACTGGCCCAGGTGGGAGGACTTGAGGTGGAAGTTGCGGGCGTGCGAGGAGGTGGCCAGCGCGATGTGGACGGGGGAGGCGGTGGATTGCGTGGCGACCAGCGTCTCCAGCAGGTGTTTTACGCCGGGCAGCGGCTTGGTCGTGGGGAAGCGCGCGAGTTGCAGCGCGGTGATCTTGGCGATGTATTCGTCTTGCGTGATCGGGAGCTGCGCCCAGTCGTGGAAGATCCGGCCTGCCTTTTGGGGGTGGATGGTGGGCATGGGGGTTAGTCTTGTTTGTTGTTGTTTTTTTGGGGATAGGGGAAAGGGGGCTTACCTCCGGGGCAGGACGACCCTGCAGCTGGGCCTTGATCGACCACGGAAGTAACGGTTTGCCGTACTCCTGCAGCACCGTGTTGGTGATCTCGGTGTAGATGTCCTCCGAGTCGATGAGGAGGCCGTCCATGTCGAAGAGACATGCCCGCACGCGGGGTAATCTTCATATCGCCAGTCAGTCCAATTGGTCGGAGGGAATACGGCAGTGTGATAGCTGACTTACTCAGGGGTGGATGCAGACATGGTGGACGCGAGTGTGCTGGTTCTCCCAAAAGCAATGCTGAAAGTCACAAGGCCGCAGTCAAAGGAATGGAATTGAGTTGAGGTCAACAGTCGATTTCTCCGCACTTGCGACAATTGATTCGATATCGGCTATCGATAGCGGGGGGAAGGAAGCGTTGATGCCTCAGGCTGGCACTGCTGGTCTCAGCCCCGCCGGCCGACCGCCGCCGCGGGACCGCCCATCTCCAAGCTCAAGCTTGCTCGAGGATTGGAATCGGGAGAACCCCTGCTCAGCTCTGCACCGTCCTCAAAATGTCAAAGGACGAGACAAGAGCAAGCGCCAGCGACAGCGAGGACGAAGAGGACGTCTTTCACGACGCCCGCTTCCCCGCCGACGAGGAGACGGTAAGTATAGCCACCACCACCACTACCTTCACCATCACATCCAGTCCTAACAGACTTGAAATCCTAGAAACTCCTTGAAGAATCCCGCTCCCTCAAAGCCGAAGCCAACCAGCTCTTCACAGCCGCCAGCTACGACGAAGCCATCACCTGCTACGACCGCGCCCTGGCCTCCTGCCCCAACTACCTCGACTACGAAGTCGCCGTGCTGCGCAGCAACATGGCCGCCTGCTACCTGAAGCTGGAGGACTGGAAGGCCTCCGTGGACGCGGCGACGGCGTGTCTCGACCGGCTGGACAAAGTGCTTCCCCCAACGACGAGTACAAACACGGAGGCAACGAGTCGGGAAGGCAATAGTCCCGGAACGGCGACGGAGGAAGCAGTCGTGGAGATCACCGGGGACGACCAGGAGGCAGAGGAGGCCCAGCTCCAGCGGCTGCAGCAGCGGGACCAGACGAAGCGCGACGTGCTGCGGATCCGCGCGAAGGCGCTGATGCGCCGCGCGCGCGCCCGGATGCAGCTGGGCGGGTGGGCGAATCTGCAAGGCGCCGAGGAGGACTACAAGGCGCTGGCGGCCATGGATAACCTCCCCCCGGACGACAGGCGCGTGGTGCAGAAGGGGTTGCGGGAGCTGCCGGACCGGATCGCCCAGGCCCGCGAGAAGGATATGGCCGAGATGATGGGCAAGCTGAAAGATGTAAGTCGGCGCCGTCGTCGTCGTTGCTCCTGTTACATGTCTGTGGTTACATGATTATACTAACCGAAGTAACCTCAGCTGGGCAATGGAATTCTGAAGCCCTTTGGTCTCTCCACTGAGAATTTCAAGTTCGTCCAGGACCCCAAGACGGGCGGGTACAGCATGAACTTCCAGTCTGGTTGACATCCCCCTGAGTGGGCGGTAAATAATGACACTACGCATGTGGAGTTGGGATGCATTTTTCGAGCGAAAGCGATAGAGCTATCTTTTAGGATGAGGTATAATATTATATGTTACGGGGCTGTTTACAGCGGCGATCGTCCAACTACTGTCCTGCAGTGAACAAGGTAGCGATCCTCGAAAGATCATCAAGAGAGACCTTGTCACCGAGGTCGAAGATTGTGGATCGACGTTGGCTTTTTCCACCGAAAGGTCGGTGGACTTGCTGGGTCGCAGGCTCTTGAGGGCTGGGGCCATAGACTCGAGCAGTGAACCCGCCCTCAAGGTCTCCACCAACAACTGGGGGCCACGGCTGGATGCCATGGCAGAACTTGAAAAAGTCTTCTGCAATTGCAGAGCTCACTTCTTGCTGTGCAGGCGACATAAACTCACGGAAGTTCTGGAAGAGGTAGGCAAGATCGAGAATGTGCCCAGCTCGACCTTTCCAAGCGCCATCCCATGGGTTGCCTTCGTTAAAGTAGTAGACAAATGCGCGTCCCTTCCAGCCTTGTGCAGATGCCAATGAGGGAGCGAACATCCAAACGTCATTCAAGAACTCGAGGATCGCAAGAAACGCATCCTCGTCATCTAAATCCTGAGTTACGCCGTACCTGACCGAGATCTGTTCTCGGACTTCTGGTTGCGTGGCAAGGACGGTTGTAAGACACCCGAAGAAACGCTCGGCGCATCCGTTCTTGAGATCAGACCTAATAGCGTGGATGATATTGGCCTGTCGGTTCAGTATGGGCAACATCGGACTGGATTAAGATTGTCACTTACGTCAATCTGGGCATCGCCAATCATCAAGTCCTGGCACCAGTCCTTGCCTTTGGGGATGTGGTTGGTTCTATCCGCCAGCTGTGAGTAAGTTATCGCGGATGGAACCAGGTCTCCATCCACTGCAAATGTCGGAGCTATGGATGGAGGGACCTTCACGATCAACTCCTCGCCAGGAGTCTGCAGCAAGGCCTCAATGCGTTCTTCCGGTGAGGCATCCGCCAAGCCCAATGCTGCCATTGCTTTTTTATAGCTTTGCTCGTGCACCTCGTAGGGTAGGCTAGGCGAGAAGAAACGATTCCCGCTCATCAAGATGGCTCGTTTGAAAAGAGGCGTTTCCGACTCGAGATGACAGGCGACCGATGCTGCGACACTCAGTCAACTCTGCCAACACCACCCAGACGTCAAGTACAGTACATACCAGCGCCGGCGCTCATTCCAGCAAGAGTGATATTGTCCGGATCCCCGCCAAAGTCACCGATGTGCCTGCGCACCCACTCGAGAGCGACCCGCTGGTCTCGCAGGCCATTGTTCGCTTTGTAGCCGGCGTTCCTCAGCTCCTCTGAGGTCATGAACCCGAACATGCCCAATCGATAGCTTTGTCAGTTAGCACACACACATCTTCCCACTGACCAGCTAACAAACATACTTGATGGACACTGCGACAATAGGCAGCCCGTTCGACACAGACAGCGCAACCAGTCGCTCGAGCTCAAACTGCGGCCAGGAATTGGCCCCGATGAACAGCCCGCCGCCGTGGATGAAAACAAAGACCGGCAGACGAGCATCGGTCGTGGTGTCGCTTGGAGTCGCAATGTTCAAGTTCAGGCAGTCGACGTCGGATTGGGGAAGAGGCTTCTTGGGCAGGGTATGCTGAACGATGCTGAGCTCCAGGTCGCATCCGAACGACGGGGACAGTGTCGTCGGGCTTGAGCAGTCGTTGCTGGTCAGTCCGCTGCACAAATCAAGCCATTGGCCCGAGATGACTTACCCATCTTTGGTCGCGTCGAGCACCTCCCCGTCGCGAGTTTCAATGAGTTGGGCGTCAGCAAGTCTGTCACTAAGCGTAGCATACTTGATGCCTAGGAATTGGGTCACTTTGTTACTATCGCGCCCGCGGATCTTGCCCAGGTTCTGCGTTAGAAGGATCGTCATGGTGGAAGGGTGACGCTGGGGACATGCAATGAGTGAGTCTGGCGAAGGTCGCATGTCCGTCTGGAGTAAAGAAACCCCCCGCACGGAAATCCCCCAGGCCGTACAGGCCCCGCAATCTCGGTGGGTCTGCCATTGCATCCGCGGCAGATGTGGTGGAAGGTGAGGCAGGCAGTTGTTATCGTTCTTTAGATTGCAGTTTCCACGTGGAAAATGTCCACGGTTTGTCGCGGAGCGTGTATGTGCTGGGCTCTCTAAACGAGTGATTGACAGTTTTTATCCGAAGGGGCTACAAGATTCTCACCTGTTCCAATTGGTTTCTCTCTCAAGTAGTTTATCATTATTTATGATGTTTGTTTATACTGGAAGGCCTACTTGACTTGCTCAAGCTACTTTGCTTATTCAATCTATGACTTGAACACCTTTGTATGAGATTCTTGCAGAGATCACATTACTTATAGAAACTGTCTTAGAGAAACCCCTTTGCTTACAGGACCACCTCGCTCGCAGACACCACTTTACTCATATAAATCTAGGATTGTTGAAGCAGTAGATAGACGCTTGACTGACCTGTGGAGAGGATACCACCAAACTACGAATCCAGCCACCACTCCAACCCAGGTCGCAACTTCCTTCCAAGTTCGCTTCAATCCAACCCAGGAACAGTAAAATTATCAACAACATCAACAACCAGAAGAGAGACACCTCAATGACCGACAAAACCCTCAATCATTCGCACCCCGCCTCATCAACCTATTCTTATTAATCATCACTCCCTGCTTGTTTTAACCCAGTCTACCGAAACACTTCATTCAATGTCAATGTCAAGCAACACCCCGACCCAGAGGGAACCCACACCAACCAAGGTTGACCCCGATATCCCCCCGGACCCCGCCGAGCCAAGGTAAGCATCCTCTCTTCCTAACTCACCATAAACAAACAACTGACCCCGCCAAGCGAATTGCCTTATCATGTAGGCCAAGAGATCAAACTCCACCCCACCAGCCCCCGCGCCGACCAGGTCACCGCCATGCACGCCAGAGTCCTCGACGTGTACGGAGTCGAGAACCAGATGGCCTGTGTGCTGCTGATCGAGGTGGACCCGCCGCTGGGGAAGATGACGTCGCCGATGTTTCTGAAGCTGTTCGACCGACGCTGCGCGGGCGAGGCCCGGACCCAGAAGCTGGGCCGCCGGAAGACCGCCGCCGCGCACTGGGCGGCGGCGGTCGAGCGGGACTACCACAAATACCTCTGCCAGCAGGAAAGCCACATCGCGGTGGACCTCCTCTCGCAGAACGAGAACCCGCGCTTTCAGCACCTGAGCTGGGCGCCCGCGCACAAGGAGATCTACCTCGAGGGGCTCGTGCAGCGGAGCCTGGCGAACGAATTGGCCGTCTGGCACCGCCTGCGTCTGCTGGAGGGCAAGATCATCCCGCGGTTCTACGGCGGCGTCCTGGCGACGTGGGAGGTCAGCGCGGACGACGCGGGATTCACCAAGACGGGCACGTGCCATGGGTATCTGCAGCAGATCCTTCACGGGTGCTCGTTCTGCGATCTGTGTGAGAAGTTGCCGGAGAGGCTCTGGGGTACCGCCTGCGACGATGTCCTGCACATAATACGGACGATTCAGGATTGGGGCGTGCGAACGGATCGGCTCAGTCTGAAGGACTTTGACGTGTGCTATATCACGGAGCCGGATGAGGATGACGACGAGAGCACCGCCCCCTTTTATCGAGTGTTTCTAGTCGACCTCAGATCCTGTGTGAATCGGAGCTCCCGCGAGAGTGACTATGCATGGAAACAGCTTATTGCTTGGGCGGATGAGGAGGGCGCTATCGCGCGAGACTTGGAGTTGCTCACGGGTCATGCGTGGACATATCATCGCTCGAAAGGTTCTGGTGAGCTGGAACATGACGTTCCCCACGTCGAGCATAAAGAAGTGGTGGAGATCGATAAAACCCCAATGTCGCCAACGAGCTCTGACAGAACAGAAGTCCCGGGAAGTCCCTAAGCTGTAGTGAGTGGAATTGGGCAACGATTGGGAGATGCCGGAAGTTATCCGTTTAGTATAGTTCGCGATGACAGGTAGCAATAGCTAAAATGTAGAACTTTGGACCTTGAATTGACGTAAATTGTACCGATGTACACAAATAGAAGGAGTTCGAGTGAAATGAAAGATAATAAAACTACTGCTATATATAACTTACCAGGCCATTATCATGTTGGTTCAGTCAACCACAGACACGTTAACTAATCACTTGCGTAATGGTTAATCTGATCCAAATGGCCATAGCACACTACACGACCGTCGAGTTAACAGTGGTATTCATGAAGCTCGACCCCAGCTTCGCCTGCGCAGCCTGGATCAACGCCTCGACCGCGCCGTCGAAGTTCGAGAAAATATTCCCGACAACCGACTCACCGCACGGGCTCTCCTGCGCGGCCGACGAGCTGGAGCTTGTGTCTCGCTTCCGCTTGAAGCTGATCCCGGGCGTAATTTCGACGCAGTTGTACTGCGCCTCGGCGGCGCGCAGCTGGCAGACCTCGTCGGTCTTGCAGTCGCCGGTGCACGAGGAGACGTCCCAGCCGCGGCTCTTGCGGGCGTAGTAGTCCTGGAAGACGGCGTCATCGCTCTCGAAGAGCGCGGTGACGTTGTGCCAGAACGCCGGGGTGAGCTCGGCGGCACTGTCGGTGACCGGCGGGTCGAGGAGGGCGCCGTAGGTTTCCTTGACGGCGTAGTACTTCTCCCAGACGGGCTTCTCCTGGTAGCTGGGGCTGGACATGTTGGCGATGTAGACGGTGAAGTCGAGGACGCCGAAGGTGACCGGGTCGACCGAGTAGACGCGGAAGGTCGGGTTGCCGGAGGTCGGGGTCAGCGCGGGCGCAATGTACGACATCATGGTCGCGGTGGCGGCGGTCTGGTCGGTGTAGTTCGAGTAGGCGATCTCGAACTCGTCCTTGTGGGTGTGACCATAGAAGACGGCGGCGATGGTCGCCTCGTAGCGCTGGATGATCTGGTCGAAGTAGTTGGAGCCGTCGTGGAAGGTGTCGCCCGAGCCCATCGGCATGTGGCCCATCAACCACACGCGCTCTCCGGCCGTCTCGGCCGCAGCCAGTTCGCTGACTAGCCAGGCGAGCTGGCCGTTCGGGTCGATCAGCATGGTCTGCTCGTAGAGCCAGAAGTTCTCCTTGTAGTAGAAGTTGGTGTTGAAGGAGATGATGCGGAGGTTGCCACCGGAGTACTTGACCGAGTAGGAGCCATAGTCGTCCGCAGTGCTGGCAGCGGTAGATCCAATCCACTGGCTCCAATCGGCCGACAGGGTGTCGTAGGCCCACTGGCTGGAGATTATAGTGTCGATGTCCGACGTTGGGAAGGAATTTACAGGCGCAGTATCGTGGTTGCCGGTGACGCCGTAGACGAGGTTGAGGTAGTTGGGCATTCGGGTCTTGTAGGCGTCGTTGAGATCATTGGTTACCTCAGTCTCGTTGACCAGCCACACAGCGCCTTCGACGACGTCACCCGTGAAGATCGTGAAAGAGGCGTCCGGGACCAATTCTTGAATAGCTGCGTACATGCTTTCCTCCAAAGTGAGAGGAGCGTCGCAGTTGTGGTTTCCATACTCCCCTGCAGGATAGTCCGTCGATCCAGGCTCATCTGAAGCGGTATACGGGCGGCAGCAGATGTTTTTGGTACAGTTGTAGCTAAAACCAAATTAAGGTCAGCATAAATGTCGGGTGAAGAGGTAGGAGGCGTGGGGTTAAAGGACATACTTTGCACCAGTTTCATAAGAAAGATCGACGTGGATATCACTGATGTGGACGATTTGCAGAGGGGTCTCTCCACTTGAGGCAGGCCGAGACGCGTTCGCTGGCTTAGCAGAAGGAAATTCGACGTTGTATTCGGCCACAGCCGGATAGTCACAGAGGCCAAAGATGGTAGTACAAAAAAGAACTGCCGTCTTGGAAGGGACGTCCATGTTACGAAGATCGTGAGCCAGAATAGGTCCTTCGCGCGAGATTGCACCCTCGCAAACATCGTCGTCGTCCACCTTATCTACATCAGTAGAGCTCATTGGATGACTATGGGAGACTTGCCTACCTTAGCCAAGATACAAACCTCAGTGATGACATCCACGAAGTCATCGTTGCCCAAGTGAGCAAGCGCTTGGAGAACAACCAGCAAGGCCTTGGGGCCAAATCAGCCTGATGTTAAGGACCACCAGAAAGCAACGCTGATAAAAGCTTGCTCACCTCACACGCAGCACATGTCGTAGCGTCCTCGATATCTGTCAGAATTTCGCTCACTGTTGATCTTTTGTCCAGTCCACTTGACGCGACAGAGGCGCCAAGCAGACCCGCAAAGCAAAGCAGTTGAGAGATCTTCATGGTGCACGGGAGGATGAAGCTTGACTTTGTCCAGAGAGCGAGCGGCTTTACCTAGCTTTTATAACTACCAGATTGATTGCCTCCCGATTAACCCATGCATTGAGCGCGTTCACAAGTTGTATTCTCCTCAATGTCCTCGGTTCAGGCACGTTCTCTTGCATTGGGCAATGATTGACCCTTGTTGGCGAGCAGAGTGGAGTGAAGAGTAAAATGAAGCTTTGAGAGTAGCGAGCATGCCGAGACATTCGCGAGAATGATTGGGCAAGAGCGGTTCGGGAGGGAGTTGAAGATATTGAGATTAATCTATTTGCCGGGGCGCTAGGAGCAATGCCCGGCTGAAGATACTCGCTTCTACCACAAATCGGGTGATGACTTCCTCCTCGGGCTAGAACATCAATATTCTCTTGAACGGAGCTTGAGGTCTTTAGCCTGTTGTCGGATGATGAAGGTCATGCACAAGCTCTTTCACTACCACAAACCTGACTTGTGTCGCGAGATGGCATATATGATCAAAATGCTATAGGTGTGGGATAAAACTGCATCGGCCTCAGTCCACCATCGCGCGCGCAAGAGCCTGAAATTTATGGACCACCTCCGCCTCTTGCTCCGGCGTCAATTGAGCCCGTTGTACGATATACAGACCATCTCGAAGACGAGCATTGACGATGAGCTTTTTGGTTTTCGACTTGGCGAGTCCTTCGACCGTTTTGGCAATGCCATGGAATGGATATGCCACCAGTCCGATCCCAGCTACGCCCAGAACGAGTCAGCTTTCCCCCATCGTACGAGTGGGTAATCAGGGCGTGCGCGCGAGCAACTTACCAGAAGGAACCTTTGTCGCCAGTCCGATAGTACCTTTAGCAAACCCTTTCATAGCGCCCAGTACCCCTTCTTCTTTGGCTCCCTTGATGGGCTGTGTGAAGAACCCCGTGAACCCATCTGCCATTCCATCCACGAAATTTCGGCCACCCATCACAGCGCCTGATTTCCAATCTTTTACTGTGCCATAATTCTTCGGTTCTTCTCCATAGAGCCGGGGGACCTGGCGGAACCCTTCTGCTGCGGCATGCGGGATGTCCACCACCACGCCTTTGAAGTAAGAGCCGGTAAACTTGCCAAATTCCTTCAAGGTTGCACCCGCTACGTTGCCTGCGGTGGCCAACGAACTTGGTTGCATCTCCCTGCTTTTCCCGCTCCTTCTGGAAACACGAGAGCTGGTTTCGTCGACGCTTAGGTGTGCAAATGATGCTGTGGAGCTCGTAGCGGAGGACATGCTTCCATTTATGGGGTCATAAGGGGGCCTAGGAGAGCGGCTGCGCTTGTATTCCTTGTATGGCTTGTAGAGCATCCCACCACTCGACTTGAGCATGTCGTACCCTGTACTTGTCGAGGCGGATATCAAGCCTGTGACGGGATCCCAGCGGCGATTCTCGATGAAGATTGGGTTGATTTCATGGCTAGTTCGAAAATAATGTCAGCATACCAACAACTCGGCAGATCACCTTCGAATTTACAAGGCATATTAGGAGGCATAAGCAGACCTTCTAATGTCTTTGGCGTCGATCATCGACTTTTCAATCAGGATTTGAGCAGCTGGCTTGGATAGATAGATTTTTCGTTTCGATTTGACACACTTCCAGACAGCAGCGTGATTAGGCATCACATGGCAACGCATTCGCTCTAAGGGCAGATGGCGATGGAATGATTGAACAGCTGCAGTGACGCCAGACTCGGCTCGCATCTTAGTTGCAATTTGCTGAGCCGCTGCTGCTGCCTCCGGTGTGAGGCAAAGTCGTATGGCATCCGCCAGGTTCTTCGAGTCGAGGCGTGAGTAGGGAATGGGTCTGGCACCCGCGCCAGCACGGGCTACCATGTTTCCCCAGAAAGGTTGACTGAGATGATATCGTGTTAGTGATGGTAGATTGAAAGATCCTAACGGAGTTGACTCACTCCCCAAAGAAAGGAACAATAGTGGTTGGCCGCCCATGAGCAAGGCCACATGCCGTGGTACCCGCGCCACCATGATGTACGACTGCAGCAACATGCTGAAAAAGCCACTCATGCGGACAATCATCAATGTAGAAGATGTTCTGGTTCGAATCTCCTGCTAAATCACTCCATCCACGTGAGATGATAGCACGAATGCCAAGACTTCTGACGGCGTCGAGGATGGTCCTCGTCAATTGCTGGGGGTTATCAACGACAATACTGCCGAAACCGATATAGATGGGAGCTGTGCCTGACTGCAGGAAATCGAATAGTTCCCTGGGCGGGCTGTATGATGGTGTATCTCTGAAGAAGAATCCACATATATCTGTACCGAGCGTTATTAATTCGTTCTGCGTATACTGCATCCGACCGTCAAACGTACCAATGTGACTCGGCCAGTCTCGTGGTTTAGGTACTAGCGCTGGGGACCAGCAGTATGTGAAAGGTATCTTCAAGGTCTCTGCAAGGCTGGGTCCCTCCGACAGTGGGATGGGATCCAGGTCGATACCAGCCCGCCATCGATTGATCACGTCCCCTAATCTACAATGAGCACTATTAGCCGGAATCTCAGCCACTTTCTTTCAGAACACGTACCCTTGCCAGGTCAGCCATTCTACAATTCCATATGACACCCAATTAGCAGTCGTGGGATTCATTTCTGAAGCACGAAGGTTGGCAAGAGGATGCGGGAAAGCCCTCGTGCTGCTCCAAGGCATGGTGAACATCAGATGAACCGGAATACTCAAAGCTTGTGCACAATGTATATGGGCGAAGCTGGGCGGGTTGGCAATAATGGCGTCGGCCACAAATGGTACCTGTGTGACTGGGTCGTCCTCGATACATGATCTCCAGCAGCCGTCGAGCATCTCGGCCACCATAGCCCTCTTCTTCTGCACCTCGCCAGCACGCAGGCTCTTCATTTGCGGGATCAATCCGGGATTCTTAACCATAAACGCCATCAGTTCTGCCGGATTGCCCCCAATGGGAAAGAATTCCAGCCCGTGCTCTGTCACAAAGGTTCGAAACACATCATGAGTGGCAATGCGGACGCGATGTCCGTATCTCTGCAATTCATTTCCCAACGCAATGAACGGCTGAACGTCTCCGCGGCTACCTACTATTTGGATCACAATGTTGAGCTGAATGTCGCAAATCACCGGTTCAGGCTGCCTTGAATGCTCGTCGAAGTAGTCCGGTGGCGGATTGTGGATGTCCTCTTGCTGAGCTTCGATGATTTGAGCGAGGGTTTTGGCGAACACGGAGTCGAGATCGACATCGATGCGTCCATCGGCTTGGTCAAGATAAGTCTCATGTCAAACGAGCATATGAGGAAGTAATGGTCCTGCAAAGACTCACCCTGAACATCCCCTATCTCATTGGCCAGATTGTTGTCGACGCCATCGGGATAGAGAGAATACGGGGGCAGACCATGTTCGTCAGGTGTCCTCGTGTTGTTTAAGTCCTCCTTGGTGGGCTTTGACATGTTTGCAGGTCTTGAAAGTGAGGATCCGTGGAAAGATGCTCATTTTCTCTCAGTTCTGGTGGAAATAGACGTACTTGTAGTTGGAACCGAGCTGGGGTCATCAACAAGGTTTGCATACTAAAAAAGGGTCTATGGTCGAAGCTCGCCTCGTATTCGTATGGTATGCCCCTCTGGACTAGCCACTGTGGGGCATAGAAAATAGTTTGTATAAGGCAGCCCAATTAATGAATTGTGGAGTGCTAATTAGTGTCAGTAGATAGTTACTCAATCTTTTTTTTACGGAGTAGACTGGGGTGATTCACTAGATGATGATCACTACGCTATCAATTTAAAACATGTTTTCGACACTGTTTTTCTGCTGTAAATTTGTCGTTTGTAGCTGTACTATGGCGAGCCAGCGGCACGGAGAGTATAGACAATACCAGACCATCCATAGAATGGACGATTGGGAGGATCAGCGTTGATACCGCTAGTAGCAAATCTGATACATTCTACATTTCATGCATATGGGTAAGTTATTCAAATATCTATCAGATTGTTGTCACTCACTTACTTGCCAGCCTGCTGTAATTTCCTGTGGCACGTGCTGACTGTCCAGTCACTCCAGACATGTGCGTTGTCCTGAATTGGGTTAGCGCCGGATACTGGACCGCGGCGGCGGCTTGGGCTCAACATGCCGCCGGCTGTCCACGTACGTATTACGAAGTCCGGAGACTACGCTTGATTCTCCAGATTTCATTGCCTGGGGTCTTACTATGCTCTATGGTGACAATAGAAGATGACTCCAGGCCAGTCCTCCGCCTTCTTTGATATTGTGAGGCTGATCTAATGACTTCTGGTTTCTCTTACTGTTTTACGTACCTTCCTCCCTCCCATTTGGCACCGTAAGCTGTGAAGCACTCCCCGCTCACGCATGCTTACTCCTGACCAAACCGCCGTGAGAGCCACGTCGAGAATCGTCCGGTCTCACTGTGGACAGTCAGCTTCTCAATCATGTCGATACTCTCAGAAGCTACCACAGCAGTGACAACGGCAACATCATCCGCGCAACCCTTAAACACGTCTCCTCCGATCACCGCCACATCCCTGTTGTCTACTTCACCGCGCGAGCTCCTCTCTTTACCTCTTCGGGGTCTTTCAAAAGTGGAGACATTTGCGTTCTCAATAGTACCAAAACAGTTTGCTAGGATGGCTGGACTCCAAGAAATGGCGACACACATCTGGGGTTCAGCCCGGGCTCCGGGCTCGGAAGGCGATACGGTGGTTCTTGCAACGCAGGCCGCGGCGGAAGTTGTTCGAGAGAGCGTAGCAGACGCTGCCGCCCAGGCTGACTCTAGCCTCCCCCAGTTCTCCGACATTGTACAAGCCGTTGTAAAGTTCAGTGGGTTCTTTTCGTATCTGACCGGCCGGTGGTCACTAGCTTGTTTCACAGTAGTAAGTACATCATCACTTTTGGTCTCTTGTCGCTCTGGGCAATTCAGTTCATCTGACCTTTTCAAGTCTCTTGTCCTGAATAGAATCACCATATACGCATCCACGCGACGGCGACTCCAATTAGACTGGAGCAGGAGATTCGCCCTGCGCATAATACCCATCGTCCTCTTCGTTGCTCAAATACATGCCCTGCTTCGTGCTCTCCGATGCCAGACATCGCCGGACTACTCGCTGATTCGATACGGAAAACCGAACAAGCGATTGTTTTTTGATTATGCCGGAAACGGCGGCTTTCTCTATACTTTCAGCTCAGCACTGCTCCCTTGGGAAACGGATGAGCAGTCTTGCAGTGCAGTACACATGGGCCGCCCTGTCAACGCCTCTGACATATCATATGGTTCCTTCCGGCTCCTGTGGCCGGCCTTCCTCCGGCTGTGTATAAGTCACTTTGTGGAAACGCTTTGTTGCGCATTGCAGGGAAGGTCGGTTGTTACAGAGGCAGGGATGTCTATCTTCGAGCATTCGCTTGCCTTTGCCGAAGCAGAATCCACAATAAGTCAGTCGCTCGGCCTTGGTATCTTCGGTCTGTCCAAGCAGAGTACTGCGAAGGCAATCAAAGGAGAAGGCGGTCAGTCCGTTCTTCAATCACTGAGCAAGGCGCAAGCTTTGGAGCGAATGAACGTTTCTCCAGAGTTGCTACTCATCACTTTGATCTCTTGCTGTAATAGTTTGACATCCAATCTGCTTGATGTTTTCGGCAAGCAGAGTCAGTATCGACTCGTTAACACGACTTTCTGGGGGATTTGTTTCATGTCTGCCATCGCATGGGGCACATTTGGTGGTACATCAACCGGCACCGAAAGCCTGGTCTTCAGGATACCGACAGTCTGCCTTGTTGGATTTGTTCCCCATCTTTTCATCTTGCTGGGAATATTGATTTGCGTCTTCATCTATGCCCTAGCTCTTGTGATCACTGCCTTCTCGCTACCTATGGACGCACCTCAGAACCTATCCTTGAAAGAGAGATTCTCGCTGGCGCATGAAAATATGCAGGGTGCCAACCAGATCCAGAGCATACGCTTCAACCGTCACGATGACTTCTACACCACCTCATTAAGAATCGGCTATGGAGCCTTAACTGCTGCCAGGCAGGCAGTCTTCTTGAATGAGGGACGGGGAGTAGTCGCGCAAAGAATGACTTGGCTGGAAAGGGACAGGCTAGCTGAAATCGAGCTTATGCAACGCAAATACTCAGGTGCGCAAGGGCGTGACTCTGTATACGGCGACCTTCAGAAAAGTGAGGAGTTGCAGGAGCTTGAGATGGAAGCCACTGCGGAGTGGGAGTGGGAATCTGGATATGCTCGGGAGAAGAAAATCGAGACCACCGTCTCGCAGTCCGCGAGAGCACACGATGAGTCCGAAGGTGTCGGCGCATTTCGAGGCGTTGTTCGGTGCTATCAATCTTTCGCGTTCTTTCGTGCCATCTTCCATTTCTTGCTCCGGTGGACCGCGTATGGCTTTGACAAGCTACTGAGCAAGATTGGTGTCAACAGGCGGCCGCAGTGGCTCAAATCGTTGGTTCGGAGGCAGCGGAAGAAGAAGCATCGGGGAAGGAAGAACAATCTCGAGAAGCTAGACTTCTGGATAATGTCGGAGGATGGGGTGCTCAAAGTACCTGCCAACTCCGAGTTTGATGTGGAATCCGAGATGCGTCGGCGGGAGAGCGTCGATGCTAGCCGTTGGGGAGAGTCGGACGAACGGCGGCTTGACGAGAAATTATATGACTGGTGGAGAGCTGGAGGTGCATGGGGCAACCAAGATCAAAGTCCTGATTATGTGCCCTCTGCTGAAGACTGGGACGACACAACCAGCGTTGTGTCAATGGCAACAACCAGCGACTCTGACTGGGAAGCTTATGAGTCGGATGGACGCCGGACTCCCACACAAGAAGACCCGTACCCTGGTCGTTTGTCTCGTGAAGACACTCCTGTGCAGGAAACACTCGTTGATCTTGGCTCCTTTGCCCGTTTACTGGATCCTCGCGACCAGGAAAGCAGACAGGAAGCTCGTATACTGGCGGCACACCTTGCTGCGGGCCGTGAAGGTCGGATCATGACTCGTCGCCAGTTCCAGCAACAGGTCGAGCGCGACAGGGCCCAAGTTCTGCTTACCTCGCGTTTCTCACGGCTAAACCAGCAGAGCTCTGGTGACGAGAAGCGGAAACCTACACCAGAGGAGGAGACTGAAATCCTGGAGAAGCTCATCCTCTCCCAAAGATCGGAGTCATTGACCAAGTCCCCATCAAATGAACAGACGTGGGAGTCGGGAGCATCAGGTCTTGGTCCCAGCGGACCGCCGTGTGTCATCTGCCAGACCAGCCCGCGGTCTATTATAACATGGCCCTGTCGGTGTTTGTGTATCTGCGAGGATTGTCGGGTGAGCCTGGCGATGAACAATTTTGGCAGCTGTGTGACTTGCCGTCGTGAAGTTGGAGGGTTTGTCCGGCTGTGGGTGCCATAGGTTCACTCCAGGTCTGTTTCTCTCGAGTTGTGTCTGCAGCCATACTGTCTTGGCGGACGCTGTTTCTCCTCTCCTATTTCTGAGCCTTCTTTGTTACTATATGCATAACAGGTTGCCTTTAACCACGGCGTTCGGGATATCGTCGTTTCATTTTCGCTCACCAGAATAAATGGTAGAATTGCATCAAGCATTCTTTCGGGTTCCTTGACCATTCACTCCCACGCGCTAGATAAATGAATATAATCGCCCATTCAGCACTTCATTCTCTGAACATGCCTTTGAAGGTGGAGAGGCAATATAAAATCAGACTCACCCGAAAAGGTCTGCTGTCATGATTTCCAGTCCACAAGAACCCGCTATGCCGCCCTACGGTGTGCACCATGTAGGAGAACAACCAACAAATGCCATGCTGACTCTGAGGTGTTCTGAAAAAACCCATTGGCTTTGTTTCTTTTGGTCTCACCGCTTTCGAGCATACAGGTGCTGTTTGTATGCTCATATCGATCAACTTGTCACCTGAGCCTGTTGTTCTCATCTTCTTCCCCTCGTCGTAAGCCTTTTGATCTCTACCTGTCACCGTAGCCTTCAGGCTTCACCTCACCGTCTCTGGCGTGCAGAACCAAGATATACACTCACAGACACAGTCTGAGCAAGTAAGTGAGCCCAGCAAGCAAGCAAGTCTGAAATCGTGCCGCGCTCATCGATCGTTCTGAATGCCTTAGACTGTCCAGCAGTGATTTCGTTACGCGAAATCAGTTCCGATTCTTACCAAACCTCACGACTGCACATTACAATCGCGCGACAAGACGATATTTACGATGTGTTTATTCCCCTTTCTGTTCGGGCGTGGCCCTGGATACACTCCATCTCCAACCTCCTCCTACTTCTCCACCACTGGCTCAGACGGCTATATCTCCGACGCCGACACCATGTCTTCGAGTTATTCCTCGTCCGAAGAGGAGGGCGCGCAGACCCTCATCCACACGCAGCCTGTGCGCCGCGGCCAGCGGATGCGTCTGTGGCCTCCCATCACCGACATGGAGGACGAGGTCGAGGACCAGGACCAGACCGGCAGTGAGAGCGCCGGGCCCGGGGTCTCTGAGGCCCAGACTTCGAGCGACTCTGAGGATGGGGACGCGACCATGTCTCTGGATGAGACTGTGTCTATCGAGAACGAGTCCGGGTCTACGAAGGAGAGCTACGATCGCGTCCGCAGTGGGATGCACAGCAACAGTTCAAGCGACACTGAGGCGTGCAAGCGTGGACGTAAGTCTTCCTCTTCTCCCCTGTGTTACAAGCCCCCCCCCC